CACACATCTTGTGAAAATAACCTGTCATGAATTCCGTCGGGGTCGATGTTGATCGTTGTCGTTCGACTCGAAAGATCTATTGCCAAGGAAGTGGAGGCCGGAGGGAGCGTGGAGCGTTTTGCCTCAGCCGGCAATGTCCGGCAGGAAACCTTGCTCCAGCGAAGTCTCACTCCTGCCCTGGTAGCCCTGACGCTTCTCTTTCTTACCCGATAATCCGCTAAAAGACGCCTAAAAATTGTCACTCATCACTCATGCGGTCGGTTTTTTTATTGCACTTGGTATGCATATTCATTGACCGCGGAAAATATCGAGCGGTTAGCTGACCTACCATTCTGAAAGTAAACACAACTGGCGAGCACCGAAAAATGGACTGAACATCAAATTCTCCGTGAGTTGATGAGCTTACCTGAATTCCAGCAAATAGTTTCTGTATAAAGAATTGAAATATTTTTCACGCTGAATTAAAAATCCAATAGTCGGCGAACATCGTCATTTCATACAGTATTGTTGCAGTCTGTAGCTATGTAGAGTGTAAGCAATCTAACTAGGAGGTTGCACTGTACTTAGTCAATACGTTCGATTTGAAAGTTGTATGGTAACTTTCACGAGTTGAAACATCTATTACCATTTAAATTTTTTTATTTGACATGTTGAATGATGGACTCCATGAATGTTTTTATTCTTTAAAACGTCGCATTGTGCCTCACAAATGGATTTGCTGTCGTAATGCTCTTAAAAGTTTCATCTTCCGGCAATGACCGGATTAAATAACTCGCAGAAGACAGAAGAGAATAAAAAAAAAATGACCCAAAACCTAGTTTTAATCCTGAACAAAACTCATTCGGACACGCACAACTTGAGTTACCGGTCTGTCTGGGAAGGCACATCTCTTCTCTCTGTTCCACATCAGTGAAAAGTCCACACACACGTGAAAACCATCATCAAGTCTACATCAGTGAAAACCATCAAGTCCACATCAGTGAAAACCATCATCAGTGAAAAGAGTACAGTAATATACACTGCTCGATGAAATAATTAAAATTGTCAAATTTGAAATGTATTTAAAATCTTAACCTATCAATAGTTCCAACGCCAAAAATTAATTTATACACATTATGTAACAAGCTAATTTTTGTCCCACACGAAGACGGATGAACTATTTCTACTTCAACTACTTGTACTCAATTTAAAGACGGCAAAATATTCACAATGACGAAGCAACTTATGCCAGCCTCAATACTTTGTTGATTGAAAATATTCTCGTATATCATGATCCCAAATTACAGCAGTAAATCTGCTTACTCCGAATTCGTACGCCTCTTGAAGAAAACTAAACGAAAAAGAAAAAATAATTAGGACGAAATTGAACTAATCACAGAAAAAATTGTCTGAGAGTGAAGTTTTTAGAGGACAATCTTGTGCAAAGTAACACTTTAATGGTGTACATCGGTGTGTCTTTGTTCTGGAAGCTGCTTTATGCCCAGCAGGTCGCTCAAGAGAGGATGAAGCTCTTGACCGGAGGCACTTCGGGGGGAGAGTCTATCGATTCGCCGCGTCGAAGATTAGCGTGGCTCTTGGACGCATCGAACACCTTCCGGAGGAACTCTGAAACTTTTTTGCGCGGTCAAAGTCTTAAGCTCATCGTAAATTAGGTGACGTTGCAATGATCATGTGCCCTAAAGGAAGCTCAAAGTTTTATAGATGATAATGAAAGATAGAAGGTATAAAAATTACAATTTGTTAAAAAAATTCTGATAATCATTAAGTAACAATAATTTTCGAATAGGTTTTCCTTTCTATATACAGTAGTTTGATTATTTCGGAACAATTATTCATTTGTATTGATTTAAAAGTTTGCAAAAAATGAGTAATCCATATAATTGACTCGATTAAATTTTAATATTTTCTTTCAGAATTGAGATCTTTTTGCCACGGCGTGCCGAGCGCAAGGCTGAGAGCGTGGGACCGAGCACCATCACAAGGAGACTTGGACGGCGTGAAGAGAGTGATCTCGCCAGCAGCTGTTATGCCTTCGCTGCTGCCCGTCTTTGTGGAAAATGAAGGTCAAAGGCCTAGCGGCTTCTTTGAAGAAGACTTAGGCTGATAAGATATAAGATTTTGTGTACAATTTGCATCAGCTGATCAGGATATGGGTAGAAATAAATTATTCATCCAAAACTGAATAGTTGAAATATGATTTAATTATTAACACTGCTATACAGACTAGTTAAAATATTTGCATATATGTTTCGAGATACAAGTAAATTGAAAAGTATTATAGAACAGCTACTTAATTACATTTTAGGAAAAAATTTTTAGAATAGGATTTGTACCCTTTCATTGTCAAGTTATGTTTCGAGCATGAGTGAACTACTATACAAGTTGTGCTAAATTTCGAAAGTCAAAGTAAAGATCATTGATCAAGAAACAATTTATTGTTGCTCGCGGGTAGATCAATAATTACTCATGAGGGTGACCATGAATGAGCGGCGTGGAGGCCATGCAGGATCGCTAGATCGAGCAGTGCCTAAGGCCGGGATAAATTGACATACATGTCGTAAAAAGTTCATAAAAGATATAGACCCTTAACCAACAAATCTCTTTATTCACGAATGCGGGAAGATCTGGCCGCTGGATCGAGCAGTGCCTCAGGCCTGACTACTTCCTGCGTCACAAGAGCGACCAGACGTTCAGCCAGCACACGAGCAAGCCATCGAACAAAGACTATCGCCGAGGCAGATTCACTGTCACTCTAACTCGCGGACAATACATGTTTACGGACGAATAGATTACATCTAAGTTTTTTTTTTAGATCAGGTTAGAAGCAACTAACAATTTAAGAAAATTTAAGGCCAAAATAATGTTAGTGAACGAAAGCTCGAACTGATGCAGATTCAGTCCATATTGAGGTTATTCATCTACATGGAAGTTATGTAAGTAGTACTTTGAATAGATTTGTGCACGGGAATGAGGCAAATGCGATTGTTGGAAAGCGTAAATTGCAGCTCATAAGTAATATTATGACGTTCATTCTAGATTTTGTAGGCAGAATAAGAGTTGCTATAGTCTTGTTACGTACAATAAAAGACAAACAAGTTTTATGGGATGGGTGTGATTGATAAATTACAATCGTTTCAGAATGAAAATGAGCAATGAAAGGAATACTTGTTAACTATTTCTGATAGATTGCAAAATCTCATTTACTAAACAGTGTTCAAATACTTCAAATTAGGCTGCCAAAGCTATATCACGTTATGCTGCTGAACTATTATTACACGCGCACAAGCAAATGTTAATGTTTACATATCTTTTCGTACCTTATTTCAACCTTGACATTAATCGAAGAATTTTCATTCTCAACTTTCAGTTAACGAGGAGAAAGGAAAGAAGGCTTGCATATGATAAAAATTGCAATAAAAATTTCTATCTCTCTTTAAAGATAACACTATTAATTTTTTTCTTAATTACATTACTTGGCTGTAGGAGTCGGGAGGCCAAAGTGGCAGCGCAACTCCAGAGGCAGGTGGTGGCTCGAGAGGCAGGCAGCTGAGGGAGGCGTCGTTTTCAGAGGCAGGTGGCAGTCAGCCCACCGTGACTAGCGAGCGCTCCAGCTAGCAGTCCACGCGATCAAAGGGAGAGGAAGGACAGGCAGTCTGGGGACGGGCGACCACAACAGGATGCTGGGTGAAGGAGGGGTGGATGAGGGCGAAGTGCCGAGTGCGGTTGGCAGCAGCAGCGGCAACCGACCGTCGCTGCTGCATGAGCTCTGGGCAGGGCCGTATACCTTCCAAAGCGAGCAAGGCTCCGTCGACCGCCATGCAGCAGCGGATATTGATCTGTGTGGCTCACTCGCCTTTTGCCCTGGACAGAGCTCGAAGCTCTGGCTCACTAACTGCCTGGCATCCTGTGCCGTTGGCGGAAGGACTGATAACTATTCATCGTCATCATGCTATCCGCGGGCATGCAGGATGTATTCCTATCAAATGAGAAGATTACCGGACGGTTGATGTCTATGAGAGAGTCGTGCTCTGGACAGCGAAATCTGAATCCATAAACGGAAGTTAGTTGAAACTAAGAATTGAAAGGTTTTCATAAGTCTATTATCCCTTCTATCGGGGGTTTTGTATGGAGTCATAGCTACCACGTATTGTGTTGCTTTACGAAGGCAGCAAAAAAAATTAGTTAAAGTTCCAGGAGCTCTTAATTACGGTCTGCCTATCGAAATTAACATTTGAGGATTTAGTTCATCGCTTCATGATAGCGAAAAATCTATGGTCAAATTTACATTTGTAGCCAATTTTAGCGAGAATTTATCGTGAAATAATAAAATGAGACAACGCCATGTACGTAGGTAAAATTAGGTTAAACAAGTACATATTAATTTCACTGATATTAAATTTTTCTCGCGTCAAAACAAGTATTAATTGGTCAGTGATCTCGGAAGCATCAATTGATGCTTGTACCAATCAACCTTCCGGCGCAGTTGCAAACCGTTTTTTAGCCTTTGCCGAATTCGTTGCTCCGGCAGAGCAGCTCAGCGACGAAAGTAAAGTTTGCCGTTTGATATAAAGTACTTTAAATCAACGTGGGCATTTAGTAATGATAATAATAATAGTGGGTATGAGCAGAAGAGACGACAGGAAGAAGAGTTTCTCGTCACAAAGAAGTGGTGAAATACGAGTCTTTGAAGTACGGGAATGGCCCTATCATGGCTAGGTTACGAGCAAGTTCATTTTACAATGGTTAAATTCCGATTCTTCACGTACGTTAAAACCATGGTCTGAAACTATCCCAATGAAGCCTTAGGGCATGACGCTGCTTGGACTAGAGCTCCGCCTATCTTTTGTGCCTGGAAGATAGTTGCCAGTTATTGTTTTTGTCACAAACGTTAAAACCATTGAGGTTTTACAGAGCTTTTATACTGGTTGACTATCACTACAAGTCAGTATAGATACACATTATATCATATTTCCTAGGAAAAAATTGAAGTAGTTAAAAGATAGCAAATTTAAGCTGTATTGCATGAGTGCCAAAGTGCTCACAAGATCGTTTCCGTAGGAGAGGTGGCGTTTAGTTCACCTCTCCTGTGGATGCGGTGTGGTACGCACGTTCGAACCACTTCCAGCTTCAGTCTAGCTGAGAGATTCGTGGTGGTTGGTCATAGCTCTGGCTGTATGCTTTGACTGTGACTGGATCCTTGCGTACCAAAAATAATCGACAGATCTGTCTTCGCTTGGATATCTACATATTACAGGTAAGGAAATGAGTTAATAATTTTTAAATTTATTTTGAAGGAAAGTTACCTTGATTTGAAATAAGGGTTTCAATACCGAAGGAACCTAATCGTTCGTTCTCACGCGCAGAGCCTAGAGGTTCGTCTCGATCATGATGCCATAGATAACGAAGATAAGAGCAACGTTTTGGTGTTTGCAGTAACGTTTTATTTGATCTAAATGCTAACTATATAAAATTTATCATAAAAATTATTTTATTATGGATTCTCTATCTGGGGAATTTGTGAGTCTGACTTGTGTTTCCCGAAATTCGGAAACCGGTACTGGAAGTGTGAGTCATAGGCTACGCTTCCTGTAGTTGAACTCTTACAGTTCAGTTTGGTGCCACGTGAGACACGAATCATTTGCTTGGACCCTCGCTTTCTTTATTATACTGTTTCAAAATACAATCTGACCAATTTTTTTTCTTGATGACATTTGTAAACTACCTACTTTTCAGACATGTTTTGACTTTTCTTATTCTATTTTCTTATTAGTTTCTATGAAATTACGGAGAAATTATTTTTTATAGTGTACCTACTCTTGATTCAATTAGTTTTTATACATTCTATCTATTTTCTAGCTAGGATAATCATATTTGCATCATTGCATGCTCCGTAAAGTTTCGTTTGTTGGCAAGCTACAGCGTTATGCTATACCTAGAATACCTCTTCATATATAATTTCAATTCAGAGCAAAGTTGGCAGTTTCGTTTTTTTCCGTGTTTTGTTATTGGGGAAAGCCCGAGTTGAACGCGGAACTGCACCAGGCGAATTGAAGGCACAGAACATCGAGGAATTTTGGGTGGCTGAATTCTCTATAATCAGCCAGTACGTGACTGCCAATTCGCAATCTTTTTTAAGATATCGTATTCGATTTAAAATAAAATGGAAAATAACCTAGAATGACATTTATACCTTGATTTTGCATGAGAAAAAAAGGTTGGGAAAGTCCATGTTATGGCCAGGAAAGGGAGGCCGGGAGGGTATGGTTGGCATCGGCGTAGCTGGAGACGATTGGGGGGCGTGGGGTAGCGAAGTGCGGCACATGGCTTTGATGGCCGCGTATTCTTCTCACCCTTACCGATGCTGTAACTGCCATGTACTCACGTACACATTGTAATGCTCACGCGGTGCCGCGCCATATTTTCACCAAATGCAGTAGCAGCAGCCAATTCTGCTGTGGCGTCCGCTGATTTCCGCTGGCGTCCGCTGTAATCTTGATTGACCATGAAATTCTGTATGTTGAGGTATAAGAAGAATTCTCTAACTGCGGTCGATATGTACATTTTTATTGATGACATGCTCCTGGAAATATAGAATTCTACAATTTATTCATGTTGTTACTTTCTTATCTGACTACGATAAGTAAACTTTTTGGTCAGCAAGTAAGACTTGCGAAGTAGGATTTGTGTTATGAAAATCCTTTATTATTTGCAATATTTACAAGAATTCTTTCTTTATGTAACCCGTGCAGCAAGAATTGCTTCTGCGTAGTTGATACATCGTTCGTCGTAAATTTCAAACAATTCTCACAGACACCAACGGCATTCATCACAACTTTCGGTTAGTGATTTTAACCGTAACTGCCTCTTGAGTTACGTGGACACGAGAGTGCACCCAACCGTTGCTCCACAAGCCGTGCCTCGTGCGTCGAATTTACTTCTCCCTTCACCCCCCTTTTTCTGAACCTTCCGGCACAACCCACCCCACTTGCTCTCCCTTTACATTCTTACATGTTCATCTCCCGTCGTCGAAAGGCTGAATGGCTTATGATGTCTGTAGTTTACCGGTGAATTGTATGAAAGTTTAACCTTCACTTTACGTTGTTTAGCTTCAGTTTGTAGCACAATTAAGAAACTCGTACACAAATCTATAAATGCTGAAATTGTTATTATATTGAATCGAGATATAACAGTGAAATTAAATTCAATATAGCGTTTAGTGTGCTCTCGAGGTACAACTCCCAACACTAATGGGTTACAACTCTTGAGTTACAGCTATAACACTAAACCTATAATTCATGTAGTCGTAGTGTACTATCAAAATTAGTAAATCAAACCAATTTTTATTCCACCAAAAAAATAGATTTGATCTCATGAATTATCGAAAGAAAATTTTGTTTTCACATTGCTGCCGTCAAATTTTACCGTGAAAAAATTGAGAATGAAAATGTGCATTTGTTTTTTGAATGCAGGTCTAAGTAGTGTAGTACCGAGTGTGTCGTCCAGTGTTAGGTTTCGTGACTAGTGGCAGAATGCTCATTAGGAGAGAAGAAAGAGGCTGTTGTGTGCGGCACAACGATGTATCGCAAGAATGTTACACTTTCTGCTCCTTATCAGTCTCTCGAATCGGTGTTCAGCTTGTGAGGTCCTAATCTGCCAGGGCTTCTAATGCATGTTACGCATATGTAATGATCTAATCGCTCCATCAGAAGACTTGTATTTGTTACTTGGGGAGAGTTTCTTCCCAGATCTGTTGTCTCAAAGCTATTTATACTTGGGGAGAGTTTCTTTCCCAAGCTGTTGTCTCAAAGCGATCAATTTCGATTAAGATTGAAGCATTATCTACCTATGCTTTAGCTCTGCTCAATGCCCAATTCTTCGCGTTTCTAATACTACTTATGGCTTTTTTACAGTTTCCTTTCAGGTAGGAAAAACAAGGAACGAAGTCTAAACTTCCATCTTGGTATCCATTAAAAGATGTTTATATACCTATTCGATCACTCATTTTAGAATCGATTTTCTGCCAATGTCTTATGATACAATTTCCTTAACAGATTCAAGATGGCGGTTTTGAAGCTCGAGTGGTCGGAGCACAAGACGCTTGCTTGCGAAGCTATTACACAGGCCTATCGCCGTGGCTTGTACACAGACGTAAACCTCTCGGTTGAAGGTCGGACTATCAAGTGCCACCGCATGATCTTGGCTCATCACTCGACCTACTTCAGGGGAATTTTCTCCCAAAAAGACACTCGCGATGCACCTCTCATAGTATTGATGGGCTCCCCTTTTGAAGTGGTCGCTTCACTTGTATCATTCATCTATTGCGGCAGCGTCACAATTTGTAGATCTCAGCTACTAGAACTCAGGCTACTTGCTGAAAGATTAGGAGTAACCTGCTTGCTTAATCTAGGAGAGCCACCACTGACACAAGTACCTCTGTGCTCACCCACTAGCATCATAAACGCAGCCGAAGCCCTTCAAGAGATGAAGCACGGTGCTCGCATCAAACACGACGCTTCAGGCAACCAGCTCGCATATATCAACCAGACAACTCGTGCCAACCAAGCGGCTCTGATCAACCATTCGGCATTTGATAACCACGGTGCTCGTGTTAACTTTGGATTAGATGTTCCCCAAGACTTCCCTAATGGGTATCACACCGCTCCTCGTCACCCCGAGAGGGAATTATCTGCTGGACAGCCCAGTGAAGGAACACGACCACCATCTATGGCCGAGGACCCGATGGACATGGATACTAAACATCGTCGTTATCGAGCTGCCGGATGCAATAACTCCCCTCCGGGTTCTATCCGAAGCCCACTTCTACATACTCATTTCTTGTCTACTGGATCGAAAAAACGGAGATTGTCATCTGATACTGAAACGTACTCGGATGAAAGGAATGCTTCACCCAGCACTTCCGGACTGCCTGATGTATACGTAAGTGTATTTCCCTTATAGACGTGTGATTTTTCTTCAATATATAAATAATCGATTTTATTCCGCGTAACAAAATTTGATGGATTAATTACCTTGCGCTTTTTTTCAATTTTACAAATTTGTTTGCCCTGTGTACACGTTTCATCGTCGATGCACTTCAGCTTACTTGACAAATTTTTTGTGCTGTTGTGACAATTTTTCTTAACGTGGCCCGGATTTTCTGTTGTAGTGGCATCAACAGATGATTTGAACTTGAATATTAATTTGCGATTCCGCTATCGATGCCTCTGTCATGTTTTTTTTGCATTAAAATATATTAGTTTCAAGTTGTAACCATTTAAATTTGATTGTTTTTTTTCTCAAGTTCGTCCAATTCCCGAGATCGAAAGTCAAATTTTAATTCTCCTTTTAGATCCGAGATGATGAGGAAGAGGGCGAAAGCGAGGATTCAGATGGGGAACTCCTTATTGACGAAGGACCGGAAGAACTAAAATGCGAAGGTAATTTTAATCTAGATCAAATGACGCATAAAGGTTATTTTGTATGCACAGGTTTTCAGTGCAAAGTTAAATGCCTATAAACTAGGCTTCTTAGTGGTTGCAATTTGTGACGTTGAGTGAATTACTTCGTAATTTGAGTGAATTTTCGTGAATTACTAAACCCCTCTTATTCCTAGGAATAAAGCCTTAATTACCTTCTTGAGTGTTGTTGTGTAAATATTACTTACATAAATAAAGTACTTAAAATGTGCTTGACCTGCCTACAGGCTACGATATGTAAATATTTCTCCAAATCAATGAAGCAATAAGGCTTTAATAATTTGTGTTTGCATTGGCTGTTAAAATTAATAAGGAAGGCAACACGTTTAATATGTGTTTACCATTACAGATCCATCATATAATAACAACTCAGAGGAGCCTCAAGACCTTCGTGTTGAGCCACGCGTATCTTCACTTCCAATTTACCCTACTTCGATATCCGTAGCTGCAGTCAACAGCTTCATTCAGTCGACTGCTGATTCGAAATCAAAATACCTTGTGCCAATTTCATCCGAAAATCCTTCCGTACGACGACTTTATACTTCTTCCGGCATTCATGACGTCACAATCCAGCCCGCCTCCTCGCGAAGCACTCCGTCGACTCCTGGCTTGCTGATGGATAGGAAAGTGGCTGGTCATAACAATGACGCTTCGATGCTTGAAGTGAACGGGTCTAGTCCTAGAGGTTCTCCTAACTCGGCAAATGGCATTAGAAGCGGCAAAGCACCTGAAAAGACATACTCTTTGGAACAACTGAACACTGCTATAAACGCTGTCATATTCGAGAAAGCCCAGCCCGTTGAAGCTATCAACAAGTATAATATTCCTCGACGAACATTTTTTCGGCATTTGAAAAATAAACGTAATGAATTAGGCATTGAACCCAAAAGTCGTTCAAAGCCTTCATCAAGGTCGGGTAGCCCAAGCAGGAACGTAAGTTCGTCTACATCGGCCGCTGCTGCATCCACGTTTAACTTGAACTCCATCCCTACGAGCGGAACACATCTTCACGCTATGCTAAAAAGTATAACGTCAGCCAGCAATAAAATGTCCGAAGCTACTGCTGAAACGAAGAAGAGGTTTAAGGTTGAAATGAGAATGCCAGAGACGGAATCGAGGAGTGGAGAAGAATCTGATTCAGGGGCCTCTGGGTCAGATACGAGTGATTTGATTGCTTCCAGCTTGCAGGTGCAAGTTAAGGAAGAGAGTGGCGATGTTGAAATCTCGTAGTTAATTGGCATTAAGTCGATGAAACTTCAAGATCGGTGTTAATTATTGGAACGAAGGGCCTGATGAAAATTGACTAATTGATTCGATGAAGAACTGTGTAAAGTAAAGGTTGGTGTTGGATGCGCAGCTACGGCGTGAAAGTGACTGATGATCGGTTGGAATTGTAATCCTCGTCTTATTAGAAAATCCCTTACGAGCATGAAACGAAATCGAAGAACGTGGCACTTAGCGAGCGGGAGTGCATTGATTGTATAGAATGTTTGAAGGTTAGTGTCTTTGCCAAGATTTGCTTACTATTTTCGATCTCATCGCTAGTGTAGTTATTGTGAGCCGGAGCGTCGCCGGCAGTTTCAATGTTAGTGTTTAAGCTGTTACTATAATCAGCATTGATTGTTGCTCAAACAAGATCATGACAGCCACCGTGAAAAGATGGCGTGATAGGTTTTCATTATTAATGATATGGTTCAAACATTTTGGCGAGTCATTCTGTTACTTAATTCGTTGAAGTGTCACGATTGTGGTCAACTTAGTAGACTGGCTGTGTGATTTTTTATCGGCTATAAACTTGAACGAAAATTTACTGGTCTCCCTGATTTTTGCGTTCTCTTGTTTTGTTCAAGTTAATGCCTTTGTTAGTGTTACTAATAATACATATCATAACGTGACAAAAACCTTAATGTCTTGCAGTCGAATGAGTGTAGACATATATCGACGTTGTCGAATGTTATTATTCAAGATATGCCAGTGCTTGTCACGATTACTCATGTGGGTATTATTAATGTTACAAATTGAAACTAAGTGGCATTGTTATTAAGAGTACAATTTTCTGTCTTAGCGATATTTTGCTTGCTCTCTAAGATCTTCCTTATTGCGTTTAATTCAATGACATCGAGTCATCTCGACATATATCATAAACGAATTATTTCTCTTCTGTAAGTAATACGTCTCGGCTCGATTCCTTGTCCAAAGTATTGTTTTACTATAGATCCTTCTGTGTTAGTGATAGAATATATATGGACTAGTCGTCTATAGAGTACACGAGGTTACGTACATGCTCGTGTAATGACAAAAACTGCCTACTCCAATGCTGACGTTGATTTCTCGTTCGTTTGTTATGTTCTTTTTTGATTGTATTTTGTTTTTCAATTAGATTCTCAAAACGCTCGTGTGCCAGCGATTCTCAATTCAATAATTTTAGGAATACTTGAGGCTCGCAATTGACAGGTAAAGGCATAAAGTATCGATAAAAACGATGCTAAAATTTTACGCTGTAGGTGATAGTTGATGAAATAAATAAATTGTAATTACCTATGTAATTTTGTACAAACTGTGTTTTCACAAACTTATTATTGAATAAATGGTCAAAATTTACACGTTTTATTTTGTCTGAAGGTTGGTATTTCAGTTTTGTTGATGGCTAGCGGTATCAATTTGCTCAATCCTCTTTCAATGGCGAAAACTTAATGCTCAACAATGAATGGAAAATTTATTAAAATTTCATCATCAGGTTGTTACTGGCATATTTTGTTCCATTAAAGATCCAAATTGAGGGAGATTTTAGGTAATATTTCCGGGTCCTCTGTTCTCTAATTAATAAGACTTCAAAGTTACCTCAATTATTATCCCTAATCTGGACAACATTTCCAGGTTCGCCTCGTGTGGCAATAAAAAATGTAACGCAGATACTTAGTAAAAAGTTACCTTGAAGGCTGTATTTTGAAAATTTGTGGATTTACAGAGTCATGCGTGAGAAACGAATGAAAACACACTACCTGTGTTCGACATAAGCAAACTCTAATAATATAAGCCTACAATTCTTAGGAGTTCTTACACATTTCATATCAATACATTACGTTGAAAAATAATCCGTTCCGATGAAGCCCAATATTTATCTACCAGTTTTCCATAATTCAGAAGATTAATTGTCGATGACAAGATATTTCGAAAAATATGCTTACGGATGAAACCTTAAAATCATCCTAGTTATGATGATTTAAAAAATATTAAGCATTCAAGGTTCAATCCCAACAAAACAAATGTTCTATAAATTTCAGAAATCATTTGATTTGATAAGTGAAACTGATCAGTATACAAATACAGCTTTGTAAACCATGACGCAATCTAACAAACTTAAAGAATAAAGGAAGAACTTTGTAAACCTGTTTAAGCATAAAAATGAATTCTAAATACATACTCTTATCATTAAAAATTGCATCGTCGTCAAAATATCTCCATTACGGAACACGTCTCTAATTTCTAATCTTATATACCGAGTTACGTTATCTTAGGTTGCAGTCAGATCTATCGAGAGATTACCGAGGTAGACATCAGATCCATTATAATGAGAAGGTAATTATAAATTTTGCATAGAATTCATCGAACAAACCTTAACACTTAAAAGTATACAACGAATATGAAAACGTTTGGTAAATTGACTAATCAGGGAGAAAAAATCAGTCAAAGTAAAAGAAGAAGAAGAAAAATAAGTTTAAAAATTGATGACGCATTGTAAAAAGTTTAATAACTACAACCTTAGTAGATCGAGACAGAAAGATTGAAATGAAGAGAGATTTAAAGTCAAAATGGGATTTTTAAAAATTCAGGGTATTTGAATCAATACTGGTTTTCTTCTATTTAAACAAAGCTGATGAGTTTCAGCGGTTATAAACAGCAAAATATTGTCCACTAATCTTTGTATGAAGTAACGGCAACTTCGGAGCTGCTGGTCATTTGCTTCACCTATTCCTTCGGTACGATTCTAAACCAAAACAAGAACTAAAGCAAACCATCACATAAATAAAAGAAATGAAGCTGTCCAGTGAATGGATACATGTTGCTGTGAACTTGTAATTTGTCACAGTTTATGAAGCCATGGATGTTGAAATGTCGTGGGCTTTTGGAAGTGAAAGGCTTCAGTCCCATTAAAAGAGGTTTACTTGTATACGACCACGAGACATTGACCATAACTAATTCCGTACAAATAGGAAATTGTATCATCTTTAATAGTACTTATAGAGCCCAACTTCCGACATATAATAGCCAAGTTTACAAGAGAATTGGCAGTCCAAAAATTAACTCAACGTAACTAAGGTAACTAAATGTAACTTCATTAAGCTAATGTACTGCAAAATACCGAGAAAAACGTTACAATAGGAAGAATACAACATTCTGGAAAGCAATAAAGGAAGATAAAGAATTGATTCTCTATTTAGTAATGTGCAACAAGTCTCCAAGAGGCCTTTTCTTTCCAAACAATTTCTCCCTCCTCCAGGATTCCTCGAAATTTGAAGGCGGTTTATTAGCCACTCCTTCGAAGTCGGGGCCCCAGGGCGTCTCGTAGATCACATCAGGAAAGTCGATGATGGAGGAAGGCGATCTGAAAAATCAGGGGGTAGTGAGAACATAAGCTGAACCTTCTAAAAAAATTAGAGCTACAATCAGCAATTTAATAACTACAAGAAGTATATAAGAAATAACAGGGGACTAAAAACTTAAGCTGAGCGTTCCAGAAATTAGAGCTAGAATCAGCATGGTACTACTAGTATAAGTACGTAGTACGTAAATTGTCTAATCTACTTGGCCTGAATTCAATAAGTCCCTCTGTAAGCATTAAGCGGAAAAAATAAATGCAAATAGGTGAAAACACAATTGACGACGAGGCACTATGAAAAGACATACGTAAGCTCCTCAGAGTACTGTGTATATATATGGTTTACGTCGTGGCAGAGTTTAAACCGAGTTACGCAATTTTCTATAAGCGAATTAAACTAATGTAATTATCTTGCATTACATAGCTCGTAATTAGTAATATAATATTTTAGCCATCTTACAAACATCTTTCAACACTGTTTTTATTTATAGTGGGATAATTATTTTGGTAAATTAGGTATGGGCAAGGAAATCGCTTTTAAAAGGCTATCAACTTCACATTGTTTGCAACGACGGGAAGTAAAAATTTTGTAGGCATTAGAGAAATCAAACGTGTAACCTTAGACATTCCTTACCTGCAGGTAGCCGATGTTGGTCGAGCATAAGGTGTGTGATCACTCCTCGTTGGCCGAGCTAAACGGTGCGGCGAGGTCACATAAATATTAGAAGTAGAGTTCTCCCTGAAAGATGATTTGGCAAATCCGCGAGTAGGTGAGCAAGACTTTGAGCGTCGTCTCAGGTTCCTCTTTTTCTGAAAGTTGCTCGCAACAGCTGTTACTGCACTGTTGCTCTCAGTTAATATATTGTCACGATTTATGAAATCATAACCGTTAAGGGGCTGTACACAATAAGCAGGACTCTGCGTGCGTTTCATTGAAGGAATAACATTCTCTTTCAAAGGCAACGGATTGATTAATTTAGGTTTTACTACTTGAGACAATGATAAAGTTTTCTGCTCTTCTTTAATTGCTGTTGGAGAAGTCACGCCGATCTCACCGCTGTTCCATTTGCTGTGGTATGGGTCAGTTTGTCGAGTGATGAGTTTGTACGGGCTCCCTTCCAAAACACGTATTTTTACTGGACTTTCCTCGCAATCTCGAACACTTGCCGCCCCTACAGACGAAACACAGTGAGCTTCCGTTCCAGAATATTTTCGGGCACTGTGACGGGAATTTAATTGTGAGAGATCAACATTCTGCTTGCTGGGAGAACTTAAGTTTTCTGGCTGATCGGCATTGACCAATCTAGACTTGAAAGTACTTTTCTTCAACAATGAAAATTTTGCTCCGATAGCGTCAAGAGACCGGATGCTGCTGTACTTTGAACGGACATCTGACCTCGTGCTAGTATCACTGGTCGGAGACGGGTGATTTGAATGACCCGAGTATTTATGTGTGGCGTTGGCTGCATTAGTTTCGTATGATAAACTTGACTGGTCGGGATCGCCACTATTTCGTTTACTAGGTGTTAACCAGCTCATGAGGGATCGAGGAGATGGAGAAACGGTTCTAAAAGAGGCGCCTGAAAGAGAAAATGATGATTCTGAAGGTGTTGACGGCGGGTCAGATGGGAGGGACGTTGGAACTGTTCGCATCGTAGCCGTCAGACGATTTAAGGGAGAACTGGCCTGAAAAGAAAGCCATGAGTTGGAAGGTTTTTAAACATTTTGCAGCCTGATAGCTAAGACTGAATACAACCACACAAAATACGAAGCATTTCCAACACAAGATATGACATATGAGACGTATTCCAATTATAAGATGGGAACAATGATAGAGCGAATTTATCGGAAAACTTAAGATCTTTCAAGGTAAATTCCACAAAAATGTATAGGTATATAAAATTTTATCAGACAAGCATTGACAATCGACACATTTAAAAATTTGTAGAATTGAATTCGAATAATTGAAAAATCAAAATCATCTACCTCAGCAAAATCAAATAGTAATAAATAATTAAAAATACGCCATTTGCAAGATATTTCCTTAAACCTGTCTTTTTCGTAGGCAACAGATCCTATTACATTACATTTTCGAGACTTTTCACTCATAAATTGATTCATAAAACCGACTTTGTTCAACAGAGTATGATTTCAGCCATTAAATTCTCTTTCTAATAATTTCCATGACAAGCTACACTTTTGTCCTTGAAGTGATACAGGTAATTTCAAAGTATCTACAAATGAAAATGTAAAAAATAGTATAAATCCAAAAGAAGCAACACGGATCTGACATTGAGCTGTTGCAGAGAAGTGTCGGTTTCGGTGAGAGCTTCCCCGCGCCTGAGCTGAGCTCGTCGCAGGGGCCGTTTGGCGCTGGAGTCTTTCCTGAGGGTGCGTCTGTTGGCGACCGCGGCGCTGATAGCTTCCTTCAGAGCTCTGATCCAAGCCTCTCCTTCCGCCTTGCCACGTTTGCTGTACAAGGTCAGGTCTTCGTTCTGACACACAAGCTGAAATAGATCAGGAAAATAAGAAAAACATCACAGAAAAATGTCTACGAACTGATGATGGAGCTGGTCTCCGAAACGTTTTCTAGAAAGATGTGAATTTTTGTGGACTATTCTTTGCTTTTAAATTCTTAGAAAATGTCACGTCAGCGTTTTGCCATTCTCCAGAAGCACGGAAATTACGTTAAAATGTTTTTTGTAGAGTGTCGGGTCACCGTCTTATAAAATAAGCTTGAATAGACCCCTGAACAAAAAACTGAAAAATTTCTCGTCAATGTTGCACACAAGCTGGAATAAGGAACAGCCAATAACACTGCATTCTGTCAGGCCATGGTTTGAAGTGTCAAACAACACAGAATGATCTACATACCCTGGAACAGGCGTACTATCAGTGTCAGACAACATAGAATGATCTACGTACCCTGAAGAAAGGTGTACTATCAGTGTCAGACAACATAGAAGGATCTATGTACCCTGAAGACAGGGGTACTATCAGTGTCAGACAACACAGAATGATCAACATACCCTGAAACAGGCGTACTATCAGTGTCAGACAACATAGAATGATCTACGTACCCTGAAGACAGGCATACTATCAGTGTACCCTGAAGACAGGCGTACTATCAGTGTCAGACAACATAGAATGATCTACGTACCCTGAAGACAGGCGTACTATCAGTGTCAGACAACATAGGTTTGACGCTGCAGTGGCGAAGAGGGAGAACGCAGCAGCATGTCAGTGTGCCTGGTCTGTAGCTCAGCACGTTAGAGATGCCGTATCTAAAAAATGAACGGACAAAAAATTAACAAGCAAAGATTTAGTCAGTCAGCAATAAACCTTTAATTCTAATTAGTCTGGAAAAGAGGCATGCCTAAAAGAAACTACCTAGAACTAGAAACTCTCATTTCTTACAATACATCATATGGACTTATAAATATTAAACAATGTTCAAGAAATAAAACGCGTTGCATAGAAAGTTAAAACTGGATAAAAACAACCAAAAAATTCTAACAAAACATACCAAGATTCAGCCTGCATAATGGATAAATAAGGCAAATAGGAATATCGGCATAGTCTTTAATTAAATATTTTCCACATGCCAGTAAACCCAATAACTTACGGATCATCGAGAGGGTTGTCAGAAGTTTGTAGGGGTTTGGACGGCACTTTTGTGTACATAAGAATGTCAGTGAAAAGGAAGATCAGTCTTGCCACAGAGCCTTTGTCTGAACGATTGGCCTGTGAGCACGATGATCCAATTAAATAGACATTGCTGTAATAAATTGTTGAAGAAGAAGTATAGATTTAGTGAAGTATGATTTAGTTAACGACATGAAGTATAGATTTAGTTAACGAATTTTAACTTATTTCAAACATGAGTGCATTATTCCAGTTAAATAGAACGAAATTATCAATAAATCATATTGAAGTTTACACCTACTAATCTTAATTTCATATAACTCATTCTTGCTTGAGCTGCAGCCAGAATTTCATAATCAGAACAACACTTTCCTTAAAAAAAGGCCATGTATTGTTGCAGCATGAGTCATCTTTAGAATAGAGAAAGAGTACCTATATTACTGGATATTTCTACGTGATGGATGGACATTCTAAGTTATAGTGTACCTTATAAAGGAGACCAGATTTCAGTAAAGCACGGCCCGGCGCTATAATGCGAGGTTTCCGACTCTGTAAAGCCTTTTGCAACACCACGAGCTGCAGTAGCTGATGTCCCTCTCCAACACACTCGTCAACGCGGCAGGCAGCCGCGACCACCAGACCTAGACTATCTGCAAGCAAGAGTTGCACAATTATTATTGTTATTATTCTATGAAGACAGTGTTGTGGAGCTTGGTTCAACCAAACTTTGAGGGTACATTACTCATTAGTTTGATAGTGTGCATTAGATCAATTATCCTACAGCTGGAGGGTTGGAAGCCCATCTGCAGTAGCAGAGTGGCTAATAAGTTTGCTAAAAAAATTTAACTTGTCGATCTTATTTAATAAACATTGAATATTTTAAATTTGCATCATTTTTCAAACATTATATGTATATGCTCATTCATTTTATTGATCCATTTCATTCTCAAATCAGTCACATGCAAAATTCAGTATTGCTTAACACTAGTGCTAAAATCTTATCACAGAACTATTTTTTATATAATAATAATAAACACACTTTCCAATGCCTGCTTGAAAGGATGACCAGGAGGCGTGTGTCGTAATATTTCAGACAAGAGAAGCTTGTACCGGGGTAGTCTCTGTACAGGTGCAATGAGCAGTGACACAAGACGACACTGTACCTCAGGACGTGTCTCAGTGTTGCGCAGGAAGGACTTCAACTTAGCATTTGACCTCTCTTGTTCCTGGAATGTAAGAACAAGTAAGTAATTGTTCTAAGTGAATAACATATTTGTATGTCCTAAATACTGACCATATTTAGAAACATTTTGTAAAATTGCAAGCATGAAAATGGAAAAAACAACTAACTTATTGAAAATAAACTATAAAACCAACCTGAACAATGTTTAGAGCTGCTTCATACTTGGAAGCATATGATGCATAAGTCTTCAGGAAAGGTGCAATTTTCTTGAAAGCCTCACCAACATTCACTTTCAGGTAACAAGAAAGGTCTGGCATTTGAGAAGAAGCTGCTTCCTGATTAGAAGACAAGTTTTCAATAGAAGGCAAGTCAGAAATAGATTCATTCTCAATACCAGTAGTGAGTTCTGATAGGAGCTCCAGATTGAGTTGCAGTAAAACAGGCAACTCTCCAAAAACTTTTGAATGATCTGCAGCAGTTAGGAATCCTTCTGAAGAACATGGTTCTGCAAAAAACTAATGAAAAAAGGCATAAATAATTGTGATAGGTTATAAAATGCCTTGTAAATATAATACCTACTTATGGAAATGTAAATAAAAACTTTCATAATAATAAGTCATATTTTTCAAGAATAACTCAGCATTCACTGAAACCAAGGTATTTCAATATTTTTTCTAGTACCGTAATACCTATAGAGTGAAATAAATACTTTTTCGTCACCATGCGTGGCAGTATATCTAACCTATTGTATCTTTTAGGCAGTCAGTGTGTCTATAAGTTTGTTTGAAGCCTGTCACAGCACATGTATGCATTCCACTCAATCAATTTACTAGAGACTAAAAACGTTTTAATTCTTATTTCTTTCAAGCATGATAAAAGGAGGACAATGAGGATTGTTTCTTAAATGTGGACTTTAATGGGTCCTTCTCTTATCAACATTGTTTTAGTTTGAGATTGGAAATAGTGACTTGGGATAGTGGGAAATGCAAGGTTAAGCTTTTTTGCACATATGTGTGGTAATTAATGTCAGACACCTTAGATTTCTTTAGTCTTGAAATTTTAGATTCTTGCAAATATTCCTAAAAACATTGATTTCAGGGAAAAATTATAGGTACCCTAATTAATACCAGTAATCAACAATAAAGATGTAATATTTATTATTCTAATATTGTGTAAACATGACACATGCCATGACTTTTTCACCACATGAATCCAGTTTTCAATTGATAGGATACACTTTAGTAATTGATAATTAATATTTAAGAGCAATAACATCTCTTAACCATTGAAACATGAAATTCATCTGTGGTCTTTGTTGTATGGTACCATACATATCGTACCTGTATTTACCTTTCTTATTGACAGGTGGCATATATTAAGTTAGGCAACATATGGGCCATTGAAATAAGTCTACCTTCATACCTTTGTGATTGTCCTTAGCTGACCAATGTATGCTTTTTCAGAGTCAATGAGCTCCTTCACAGATCTTGCTCGTAATTCATAAGCCTGCATTTTGGCCATGTCTGCCAAGTTTGATAGGAAGAAGTTTATGAAAACCTGCAACAAAAAATAGAAACATAATAATCAGGCCTTCAGTTATAAAATAAAAAGTAGTTAGTTCATTCAAATCTACCAAATTGACGAAGAAAATTCTAACTGTAACATTTAGACACAAGTTCAATTCATGTGCAACTTTCAATACATCACAACAAAAATCTAAGAGTTAAGGGGAGCGTCTACCCTAAAATCGAAAATTTTTACTTTTTCGGTTTTTATACTCATTTTAAAGCTGACATTCTGCCCTATCCAACGGTACCCCTGCCATATCTGTACGTTGATTTATGATTTCACGCCATTTCATGAAAGGGGGGCGGGTGGGGGAGTTCTTTAAGTAATTAGATAGGAACTAATTAGCTGCTGAGCTCTTTAAATATAGTGTCTACTTGAGTTGTGCTGCAGTTACGTGTTTAGTCTCATCTTAAAGTAATTCAGTCATTCACTGACACGGGTCATAAAAAAATGCAAAAAGAGTTCCGAAAACGGCACAGTTAAAGTTAAAAGTTGAAAATCTGGGACCGCAAAACACGAGCGTCCGCTCTCGACCACGGCTGAAACTTGACTTAGAATATAAGAGTAGAATATCAAGTCTATGTTAGCTGTTGCCCAAATTGAAACGTGCAGCAGAATTTTTCATAAAATGAGGGTAAAATGATCCTTTAATAGTATGTTAGTGTACCTAGTAATGCAGTGGCAACATTGATTAGGCCATTAGAACTGTTGCTGATTCTGAAAATTATAATATTTTTTATTTCAGAATATTTACAGCTTGTTACAATCTCAGACATGCAACTCATGGCTCCAATTTTGTTGTGCCTAATTGCCCAACCTCCTCATAAATTTGACCAGAACTGTTGCAGGTAAATGAGATCCAACCTGCAATTCACTGCTCCAGTCCAGGATTAGAAATTTCATACTTTTTACAAAAATCACACACCTCCAAAGTGACATCTTTAAATTGAACTTGAAATCTCTTGCTTTGTCAAGCAATTTTGTAATCAATTAGATAGGTTGTACCTAAGTAGAAATCTTATGGCCCAATAAATGGCTTTAATTACTACATTCAAAGCCCTGTGGCTTCAAGGCTTTAATTGCAGAGCAAAGATTTTCTTCCCTGCCTGTTCCAGTCTTCATACTCTGAACTGTAACAACATGATGAATATTTCACAAATATAGCAAATATTCAGAGCTCAGTCTGACATTAGAAAATTTTAGGCATAAATTGTTCATTTACTTTAGAACCAGTGAAATTGTTCTACACCTACATGCTGAAGAGGAGCATATTGCTCCTCTTGCTTAATCTTAGATTATTAGGTTCTTACTTTTCATTCCTGGCACTTTGGTGTATTGCTTACTTTAGGTTATGTTTCTTAATATGGTTTGCTCTTTCCATTTAATTTAGGGCTTTTGTGACTGTTATTATTAATGAATGTTTCCTTCCCTTGTATTTGTTTCAGGTGTTGTTGTTCCCCATCAATAATTCACTAGTTAGAGCATGCAACTTCATGCAATGTCTGAAAAGTTCAAGTGCTTCTGCCCTATCATCATGTTTGAAGTGTAGCATGCACTATTAAGAGTCTCGATTAAGTTTAGTAAGCACACCCATTATCACGCTTAGTGATCCTTGTTTGCACCCATTGCCTGAAGATCATTAACCCTGGAAGTCATTATCAACCCATTCCCACTTGCTGAGCAACGTAGCTGCTCCCTAAGGGTGAGTTGCTAAGACTTGATCAACTCAAGAATAATAATATACCTTTCCTTTTCAATCACATGCACTTAATTTACTGCAATAAAGCTTGCTTATTACTTTGTTACCTGTTTAATGTCACCTTGTACCTGTTTTGAATTGCTTTATTCACTTACCTGATTGCTTTAACATTGAATTTGAATCATTACAACTATTAGATCTCTTATCAAGTGTTTGCCTTGCCATACTGTACTTTCTTTCCTTGTCTTGCTATGCTGTGTGGACATTTGTCCTGTGTTGTTGCTGATTTATGCATTATTGCTTGTTTTAATCCAAACCAAAATACTCCTGATTTGAGGTACACATCCCCTTTAACTGCCCTTAAAGACCATAGACTCTAGTCCCATTATTTTGTTAACTTGATAGGAGCAGTCGGTGTGGGACCCAGCTGGCACGCTGTTGAGGAGACCTGGAACCCAGACTTGCCCAGTCCTGACCTTCCTGTCCTGAGTCTTCTCATCTTCCAAACTGCAGCTCCTTGAAGATCACCTTGCTGAAGCTCATTGTTTAAATGTCAACCTAGGCTTTGTTATCATTACTTAACTAACTGAGCTAGCTGCATATTAGTCCTGTTCATGAGCAAGTCTTTAGCCATTTCGTTGGGATATACTGGTTTTAAACCAATATTTGCAAGTTACTAGGAATATCTGCCCTGATGTTGAATCTTTTAAGTGCAATGGGGCTTTGACTTTCAGACCACCAGTGATTTAGTTAACCAGTTGTGTGACCAACAAGTGATGTGATTGTAGTGATTTAATTATTGGCAGATAGTGTTAGTAGATGACTCATTTATGTGTGCCCATTATTAGCAACTTTCACCTTCAATTCCGGTATTGCGGACTAGGATGAGACATTGATATTGGTGCTTGTTTTCTGTATTTCACTAGTCAGTAATCATATTCAATCAAGGCTCTGTTTTAATATGCTTGTTTAGCCAGAGACTTTCTTGCCATTAGTTAATGAACCTTATTGATAGATTAGTCTTGTGACCAAGTTGAATAATAGCATTAATCAGTATTATTATTTAGCCAATGTAACCCTTGTTTCTTGTCCTATTGCTAATGTCTAGGTTTCTTCAACTCACTTGGAGACATAGTGGGTGTCCTGACAGTCCTTGCCTCTCTTGAGGTTCCTGGCTCCTGCTACCCAGTACAGTATCACCTGTGGTCAGTAACCTCCTGTGGAACCTTTCTACCAGACTGGTGAGTACCTGGGGTGCTGTTATGAGGGGGAGTGCTTGGGTGTGTCTGTGGTGTCTATGAGAGTGATGCAGCTACACTGCCTTAGTGCTATACATCAGGGTGATACGTGGACCAGGTAAAGAGTGCTCTTACTGTTCTAGTCTACTGTTTAGGAATCACTGCCATTTCTTATTGTGCTCTCCTTTCCAGGACCTTTATTTGTCTCCATGCCAACCAAGACTTCTAAGCTATTGCTTATCTTACTGTAATATTGATTCCCTTGTGTCACAGGTTAGGATGTTCAGTTTAAAATTATTGTTTACTGCAAAGTTGGACCATATTGTTAAATTCGGCTCTTGAATGGAATACTGCAGTCACCCCTGAGGGATTTTCCTCTGGACGGTGGTTGCTTAGTTTATCCTGTGAACAATATTTGGTGCCCTCAGGATTATCCTGTACCAATGGCTCTTGGTTTTGTTTTTAGCTTAAGTACCTATAGTGTTGTTCGGGAATGACCTGTGTTTCATTGTCCCAAATTTGTTCTCAGGGTTGGAGGTAGGCTTAGCTAGATATTGTATCTTAGGGTGATTGAGCTAATCTTCACATAGCTTTTGTGAACCCCTGTTGACCAGACCGCAACAATGCATTTGGCACTTCTGTCTGATTTGTAGATAGCTTGAGTTCAATCATGGTTGCATTCTAAATGTCTTTAAAATGACCATGTAGCAATGTAATTGTGGTGCATGGTTGTCAAAAATAGGAGTGGGTTCACTACAATAGGAGTCGGACGGCTGTGCGCTCCAATACTAGCAGGCCGTCAGCAGTGGCAGCATGCTCAACCTGCTACAATAGGAGCAGGGGGAGCGAGCACTCCAATATGAATGTGATGTCAGCAGTGGCCGCATGCTCCTCCCATTGCTATTGGAGCGGAACAAGTGCGCAGCTTGTATCGGAGCGTGCAGCGCTGGAGTGCCTTGGCCATCCTGATGAATCTAAATGACCAACCATCTTGTAAAATTCCACCATAAGCCTGATTTTCCAGTTTGACCACTGTAAAAAATGACTCATAAGTCAATATGTACAGATTTAATTAACATTTTAATAACTAAATCTTATATCCTAAATCCAAATGATATTTACTTGCAAATAGTCAACTATCATAATCATTCTAACCAAACTGGCAAATTGAGGTTGGGCAGAAGCTTCTCTGTCACTGGTAAATTAGATAAAAAATATAACTCAGTACTCCCTGCAGTGAGTGACAGAGAGCGCATTTTCTCGTTGATGAAAACTTTAGGTCACGGACAGATGGACGGACAGACAGACAAGACAGACGGACATGGCAAACACAATAGTGAATTTTTCCATAAATGAGAAAATGCGCTAAAAATGCCCGTAAACTTTGCTAGTTTTACCTACACCTATGATCCTTTACCAAATTTTTCAGTAAAAATACAAGAAAATAATTTTTTTACCTGCACATTGAAAAAAATTCAAATGCTTGGTTTAAAACATATTTTTTGGAAAATTCAGCCTGATATTCCAGATTTATTAATTCTAAGAATCATATCAATTCTCAATTGCAAAAACAAATTAACTAAAACATTAATCTGTAAATCTGGTATAAAATGAGAGTAAAATTCATAAAAATGTTTAGGAAATGCATATGGCATTCAACGTAGGCTATTTAGGATATTAAGAAAAATTTTTCATAAGGAATAAGGAAAAGTAATTGTTTCACAGGTGTTTTTCAAAAATTGTGGACAATTCCTCTTATTTCTCACAAAATTAATTGAAAAAGCTATGAAATGGATGAAATTGCTCAGATTCATTGGCATTTTAGTCCAATTCACTGTTGGCTTCTGCCCAATTTGTGCATAGATAAAATTGAGAAGAGTTGCTTGATGCTAAAAAATACAATTTATAGCTAAGCTAACTCCTAAACTAATTATTTTACAATTTACAATATAACAAATACAAATAGGTAGGCTATGTGGCTCAGAAATTTTTTCAATAGGCTCTTGCAGTAACTGCACTGTCTGCACATATTGGAATTGGAAATGCTTAATTTTTAAATTATTGCTTATACATCACATCCACTTTGAAACTTATCTAATCATCATGACTTGAGAATTAGATAAGACACAAAAAATTCAGCGAATTTTGAGTGGGTCAGTCAGTCATCAGTTCAAGTTGACACTTTGTCACTAGAGGTCAAACTCTTCAAAGTTCAAAGTAGGTAGCTAACAACAGACTAGGCTACAACTTAAGAACTAACAAGTACGGTAAATGAAATCGGAATAATCCAATCACACATAGAATAGAATAGAAGTGTCGGCGTTGAAGAAATAGGCTCATGGCCTGTTGCGGTGTTGCCGAGGCCCAAGGACGAAGTGACCGAGGACCATCATCAACATTTATTCCTTTTAACCTCAGGTTGAAGAGGATGGGAAAATCAATATTAGGCTATTCGTTGCAAAATTTGTGGCACCATAGTCACATAGGTAACTTGCCGTAAGATTGAAGGGGCAAAGTTTTAGCTATTTCTATTATAGCTTTGATTTTTCTCCAAGGAAGTCCATAATGCTAGATTGTCGTCAAAATAAAAATAGAGTACAGCTGTCTCAATTTATATTTGTATTTCGTCCGTAAAACCACTACCCTTAATGAACAATTATTGCTTTATATGATTGATGTCACATTCGTTTGAAAGCATTTCTACGACACTGATAGTTATACGATATACACGTTCATTTATATATAATATATATAACGGAAGTATATTTTTAAATAAAGCAATGCTGTAGGTAATAAGGGTCTTGGAGTATTTTTTTTATTGATTATGCGCCTTCGGGTTTGCAGAAAAGACATCTTACAGCCTGATCTAACCGTGTCTTTTGTTAGAGCCTATGCATTAACTGGTCTGATGCCACTTTTACTTAAAGTGGATTCAACTACTTATTGCTTCAAGTGCGTATTCATTACTCTCTACAGCCGTTGATAGTTAAATGAAAGATTAGAAAAGAGAATTAAGAACTAAGCCTTGAACAGGTTGTTCACTACGTTGGCGCAAGAGTGCCACAGCGCATAAAATTGAACTTGTTATTGCCCCATAATCATGCAATCATTTCTTCACGTTTAAACAGAATGTTGGTAATTTCTTCACGTTTAAACAGAATGGTTAAATCATTGTAGCTATAATATATTTCGGTAGAAATCGGGTTTCAATTTCTTGTGGCTGCGAAATTTATGGAATCTGCCACAGACCAGACTAGCCTATACCTATGCCGCCCTCACCACTCTCATCGACTGAACGACCTAAAAGAGGAAGATCTTTTCATTGTTTTAGTACTTGTTTGAACATAGGTGTAGGGAGATAGATTCGACTAATAACAAAAATCTTCATTGTTATGATGAACGGTTCGGCATGAATGAATTTTCTGAAGAAATAAAGGAGCACTCGAAAGACTATGAAAATAACTATTGGTCATATAATATAAACAAAATATTAAGAGGTGATGATATTGTGTTCTAAAATAGGTGGCTCAACCGCCGCGTCTGCAGCAGTCAAGGAGATACACTGATCGAGCAACGACGGTGGCCTCTCTTCTTAATAGTCAATGTATTATAAGACATTTCTTGATAATGTCTGTTAATTAAATAAATTATTCATTAAAGCGTATTAATTTTCTTTCCCCATGACAACGCGAGCAAACGGGGACTCTCACAATCGCCAATTACCTCTAAAACTGTTTACAATTGTAGAAACTCCTAGAATTAAAGTTCCCTCCGAATAAAAGTTAATCAATGAACTCCAACGTCATTTATAACAATAATAAAATGAATGTAGAATAATACGCGACATTTGATAATATCCTCTACACGTAGTCGCATTAGGGGCGCGAGCATAGCGCCCTCGGGTCACCGAATAAGGCAGCGTAAGGCGACACCTGGCACCCGTCCAGAGGCTGGATGCCCAAACATACATACTTCCGACATCGTAACCTCGTAAACCTATCAACATTTAGGTATTAAACAGAGCACCTCAACGTATGCAACATTCGCTAACATTGTAGTGTGCAAGCAATATTCATTATCAGCGTAGTGTGCAAGCAACACTCACTATCATTGTGGTGTGCAAGCAACATTCAGACTTTCATCGTTATGTGCGAGCAACATTTACTATCATTGTTATGTGCGTGTAGCGTTCATTATTATTTCTGAGAAGATACGATTGCAGTGACAGCTTATAAGTTTACAGCAATGAGTTTATTGCTATAGCTGCTTCTAAAAATTAATATCGATATTTATGTATTTTTTCAAGCTGATACCTCATCGAATACTTGCTGAGTAATGATAGCGAAAACATCTTTAGAAGAAGCAAATCAGGTTGCGTTAAAAATACAAGCGAATTTTGAATTATTTTAGTTCGAATTGCTATTGTGACGATGAAACTTGTTTGTAAATATGACACTTCTTTACTGATACTCTTCCTAACCAGTCCACTTCTACAATTATATGTTTATGAAAGTTTGTTTATGTGTTTATAGGTGTTTTTTAAAATCATGTCACGGCAAATGTACAAGGGCCGCTTGGACGCGTATGTCCTTGTGCACGATACAAACATCGTGTCAGGATGTTACCTGAACTTGAAGTTTGATATTCATTGTTTAGATATTGCGTCTTTACAAGATAGAAAAGAGGAATTTGAATTAAATTCCTCTTGCTTGTATTTTGTAGATTAAAGTACATCAACCACGAATTATAATTTCCTCCATAATTTGAAGCAGGAGTTATATGGAAATTGTATTATGAATGTTGGATGCATTTCTATGCGTATATCTATAATCGACATTATATTAGTTTGAAATTATCACAAAGGACTTTCTAATTTAATTTTACGTATAAAGGATTCGGAACAACAGGGCATTTTAGAGAACGGTATTCCGCAGACAGGGACTAAAAAATAAATTTTCTATGATGGCAAAGCCGGGTTTTGCTGTGTTTAAATATAACTGAATTCGTTTTAATTCAAGTATGCCCCGTACTATATGCACCAGTATCTGTGGAGAATTAATGTTATCTTGATTTTGCTTATGCTGATTTAGCGAGGCTGATACCAGAGCTTTAGGTAGCTGTCCGTAAATAAAATATATTTTGAATAATGCTAAAAAATATAACTCAGTACTCACTGCAGTGAGTGACAGAGAGCGCATTTTCTCGTCGACGAAAACTTGAGGTCACGGACAGACGGGCGGACAGACGGACAGACAGACAGACGGACGGNTCCTGCCTTAGTTATAACCTGTCTCTTATACACATCTAGATGTGTATAAGAGAGAGGAATGAGGGGATGTGTGGGTGGGATGTATGTCACTATCATGCATGTGTTCACACAAAAGGTGTCAGCTACAAAGATGATTATCCGGAAAGTGTGTCAGTTACAGGGATGTGGGGTGCAGGGAGTGTGTCAGTTACAGGGATGTGGGGTGCAGGGAGTGTGTCAGTTACAGGGATGTGGGGTGCAGGGAGTGTGTCAGCTGCAGGGANCTAGTGCCAAGACGCGCCGCCTGACACTGCAGGCGCGGGTCTCCGGGCGCTGTCCTCTCAGGTTCGTGCCTCGTATCTCCTGCATGTCAAAGGAGCATCGATAACCTGTACAATTAAAATGTACCTAAAATCGTGATTCAAATTTACTACAGAAATATGTATATTTATTCTATTATAATTATTAGTAATTAAACCCATTACCGAAGCCGTCGTCAAAAGGACGAGATACAACACATCCAGCTTCTTGTAGCAGAATCGATAACCTGTAAATAAAGAAGAGAATCAAGTTTGTATGAAGTACTGTAAAGTTTATACATAATCGGCCAAATTGGAGTTTCTTTTATAATTAATGGTTATCAAACACATCAATGAAATATTAGTACTAATAGAAAATGTACTTATTTGCAATGCACTTGGAAATTTGTAACAGGCGTAATTGTGCATCTAATCTGAGAGTTCTGCTTTCAACTTTTAGCATAATTTATCGAAATGTTATTTGGTTTCAAGAGTTTGTATTGTGAATGATTACTTATAATGATGAAGTGCACTGTCATTACACATGCCGATCTACTTATTCGACAGCTCTACTCATACTCTGCGTAACTTATTCACCTCATTCTACTACTTTTCTAATGATATATCCGTTCAACCCATTACTATAAAATTATATAATTCTTATCCTCTAATAATTCTCCGTCGTTCAACTTATAAATTGATTCGGAAAGTGTGAAGCTTTGGAGATAATACTTTAATCCTAATAGTTTAAAAAGTTCAGATGCGTTAAAACTGTTGTAGCAAAACAACACGATTTGGAAACTTGCACATTTCATGATGAGAAAAATATGCGAATGGCCATTAATATTTATGCCATTTGTAGGAATCTTGTCACGGGTAAAATCCCATCAACTGATTGGCAGGATCAACGTCATACATTAAAAGTTTAACAATTTACGATTGAGAAATATGGTTGGAATTTAAATTTTTAAACGATGAAAATTTACTATATAGATACGTTTTGGTGATTATGGCACACAATAGAGCAATTTTAGAGCATGCTTCCACAAAATACAGCAAGAGCCATCATGGTTCCTTGTTTGCACCTGCTCAATTAAACGTTACATATTAGAAGCAATCGTCTCACCTAATTTGCCATTAATTAACAAACTCTATGGCGATTTTTGTGACTAACAAGAGCCAGAGATCAAAGTTGTGCTGAGAGAGCAGGCAAAGAATCGTTGGCATGCGACCTACAATAGACCAGGTGAGAGGTGCCAACTCTGCACAGACCGCTATATTGGGGCTACCCTTAAGAGACTTAGTGATCCAATACCTGAGATATTATGTGCTATTGTCTTAGCAATCCGTTAAATGGTCTTTATGGTTTATCTATGGCCTTCTGATAACTCTGCACAGGCATATTGGGGCTACCCTTAAGAGACTTAGTGATCCAATACGTGAGATATTATGTGCTATTGTCTCAGTAATCCTTTAAATGATCTTTATGGTTTATCTATGGTCTTCTGATAACTCTGCACAGTCCTCTATATTGGGCGACCCTTAAGAGGGTCGCCCAATACTTGAGATTTACCTTCTCAAATCCTGAGATATTATGTGCTATTGGCTTAGCAATACGATAAATTACGGGTCCATTAATGGCCTTCTGAAACTTATTAGTAATGGACTTATGAATTTAGTAAATAATTTCGATAGTGTGGACGTTCTCAGCAATGATTCCTCTGGCTCGATTTAAGCACTAAACATTCTCCTGCCTTAGTTATAACTTTGTTATAAAGGAATTAAAAAAAAAAATTTCTTATTCTCCTCGAAAGATTTGTGAAACTCCTCTGCTATTTCTGTGCCGTATGTATGAATGAACTCTGGTAGTTCATATGGGTGTTAGCGCTGTGCGCCTAGTCTTATAAATCATAAAACTTTCTAACAAATATCAACTCACTATAAATTAACGGAAAAAAATGTTTTTAAATATTCAGTAATTAAATTAATTATAGTGGTTAACGATACTGCAATGAACAGAATGCTTAGTTTTGATAAATTTTATAAATGCGTGTAGCAGATAAATTTTGATAAATAATTAAGAATAAAGAGGGAGAAAAAATTAAATTGAAATAGACAAGAAAAGAAAATAAACTAATTACAACATTAATTATTAATTACAAATGTTAAAGCGGCATTTCTTTGTCATGACAAATAATGTCAATCGTAATATTTAGATCTTAAATTGTTGTTACGTTTGGTTGGCAGATGATTATGTATATTTACCAAGAGAAAAAGAACAAGTCGGCGAAATATAACAGATTAAAATGTCGGATATAAGTATTAAAATGACTAGATTGCTTAAATTGCAAGTTTATCAGTAATTTAAAAGTAAAGAAAACAGACGCAATATTCAGAACCTGAACATTCAAGTATAATAGCAGGAATATTCAGAAAAGTAGAATGCAATTGATTCAGCTTTTCTTATAGGTTTTGAGCTTTTGAACTGACGATGGAGCCGGACTCCAAAACGTTTTCATTCTTAAGAAATGGTTAATATTCTGGCTGTTTCTTTGCTTTTAAATTCCTAATAAAATGTCGTTCATGAACTAGTGATAGTATACACATGAAATAGAGCGGAAATGACGTAGTAAAAAATTATTGTAACTTAATTGCATTGTCTCCAACTCTACACAAGTGGGCAAAATTTCAGATCGATAGGATAAGTAGAAGTGCATTAAATTTTGATTACAAGATTTGTAGCAGACAGACAGACAGACAAGAAGTGAAGTTAAAGAGAAGTGTTGTAAAAAGAACAAGTCGGCGAAATATAACAGATTAAAATGTCGGATATAAGTATTAAAATGACTAGATTGCTTAAATCGCAAGTTTATCAGGAATTTAAAAGCAAAGAAAACAGACGGAATATTCAGAATCTGAACATTCAAGTATAACAGCCGGAATATTCAGAAAAGCAGAATGTAATTGATTCTGCTTTTCTTATAGGTTTTGAGCTTTTGAACTGACGATGGAGCTGGACTCCGAAACGTTTTCATTCTTAAGAATTGGTTACTATTCTGGGTGTTTTTTTTTTTTTGTTTTTAAATTCCTAATAAAATGTCGTTCATGAACTAGTGATAGTATACACATGAAATAGAGCGGAAATGACGTAGTAAAAAATTATTGTAACTTAAAATGCAATATAAAGTAAGAAAAACCATTCGTATTACCGATCTATTATCCGAAATCTACAGAGAATTTTAATGTTCGAGAGAACTTGCGAGTATTTACGCTGTAAAATATTCAAACAATGTTCTTGAAACATTTAAGTTTATAATTCTTGCAAAATAAAATAAGAGTTACGCAATAAGTGAACCATTTACGGAGCTTAAGTGGTTACTTAAGTGGTTTCGGTATCTGGCAACTTATGAAAAACCGAGGCTTTTCCCTGTTTATTATGAGCTTCTGATTAAAACTAATCCTTTCTAGACCCTATTGCCTAAATAGAAAAGTATCGAAGTGTGAAAAATATCTATGAGGGAATTTTACTATAGGCCGTAACTGAATTATTTATACATTAACTGAATTATTTATTCACTAACTGAATTATTTATTTATTAACTGAATTATTTATTTAACTACTGAATTATTTATTCATTAACTGAGTTATTTATTCAATACATTGAAAGATTCCGGTTAAATTCGTTACCTTCTTAACATTGGATATATTTTTATTTATAATGTTGCAATGCTACATTTCTTATCTAGCTGGCCCATGATGGACGAATCGCTTATATATTCTCAATGCTGTAAGTGCAAGTGTAAAGAAAATTATATTTTTTTACCGCATTTTCTCATATATGGAAAAAATGCACTATTGTGATTGCCATGTCCATCTGTCCGTCCGTCTGTCCGTCCGTGACTTCATGTTTTCGTCGACGAGAAAATGCGCTCTCTGTTACTCACTGCAGTGAGTCCTGGGTTATATTTTTTAGCGCATTTTCTCATTTATGAACAAAAGGCGCTAATGTGCTCGTCACAGACGGACGAAAAAATGCGCTCTCTGTCACTCACTGCAGTGAGTACTGAGTTATATTTTTCATTAAATCGTGAACATTACCAAATGACTCATGATAATGAAATAAATTATTAAACAACATCAAATTGAATGGTTTAAAATTCTAAATGAATGCAATGCGCTAAAAGCAGTTAAGGCAAAAGCTTCCCGAGATATTTGGAGATCTTTAATACCGCCAGTGGGTGGTAAGAGTTGGGGAGAACGCTTAAGTTCTGCGCTGTTAATCATGAGGGCCGAACAGGTGTCTATGTCACCGGCAGCAGTTATGCATGGGTGTCAAGATGGGCGCTACACTTCCTGTCTTTTCGTTTGAATGTATTTAAAGATGTTTCTTGTTCTTTGGGCCATATTAGAAGACGGAAAAGTTGGACTTTTAATACTTATCGATTTACGCCTGGAGACGAATGGAAAACGTTTTAGAATCCATAGTAGTTTTTAGGATTGAAAACAAAAATATTTGAAAAGAAAAAAATGTTCACATCAACAAAAGACAAACACATTTGAGACTTGAAATTGATTTTTCATAAGCAGCATTAACAACACGCCAAATATCATCATTTGATTTGTGCTATGTACTTGAGTACCGATATTAAAGAGCATTGCGTGTGGGAGCAGTAGCGCAAGAGAGAGAGCGAGCCAGAGGCGCAAGAGAGCGCAAGGCCAAGAAGACGTGGAGTTGGAGTGACTGTTTTAGAGCCAACGGCGGCCGCCGCGCAGCCGTTGAGGTCCCGATGAGTAGAAGAAAGATGTTGAAGCGAGGGCGTCAGAGGGAGCCAGCTAGCTGAGGGTGCCACCAGTTACAGGTTATTTTGGTCATGTTATTACGGTGGCGCTGTCGAGTGTGGCCGTTCAGAGCCTAGCGCGCAGCCTCTAAGTTGACAGGTTGGCTGGGTTTCTCCCGCTCAACGCCGCTGCAAACTTGTGTAAGTGCATCGAAAGGCCCTGGCTTTTTTTTTTGGTTTCGTTCATAACCGATTAATAAAGTACGTGAAAATACCTTACCTGAAACTTTCGAAAGAATTGCAAAATTATGGATTAAATTTTCGAAGCCAACAAGTGTCCTCCGTCTCAATCAACATGCATGGATTCGAAGCAAGTGAAAAATATGAAAGCGTGTACTCTTCCATCTGTGCAAGCTCCAAGTGCAGTTACTTCGTGACTTCAAACTCTCGCAAGAAGAGTACAAGAAATCTTCACATTTTTCTTCGTGAAAAACAATTTAAGTTCTTGGAAATTGCCGGAAATTGGTCGCCGCATGATGAGCGGAACTTCCAGCGCAGTGAGATCGTATTCATAAGCTTATTTGGAGTCTATCTTTCATAATTGACAAAGCGTTGATCAATGCACATATTAATCATTATTGTACGCGACTCATTCTATCCTTAGTTGATTTATCAAATTAAAACACCACATAAAGCTCAGTTTTATTATACTTTTCAAACATTTGTATTAACTTAAACGATTCCATGGCTATTTTTGGTCAGGAAATAATTAATAATTAAAATATAATAATAATTTTCAACGAAGAATTTTTTTCCATACCGATGTGGTCCTAATTTTTATTAGAGAACAAAAGAATCAATATATATATGATGGTTTTGCCGTTAGTAATAAACTATAATTAAAGTTTTATAATTCATCAACTATTAAATTAAGCTGATAATTTATTATCAAAGTAAAAAATCTCTTCATATTTTTAAGTCCGCGTTTTTTTTGTGATGAGTAAGGGCCATAATTAACATGTAAAATAGTTTGGCGCTCCAAATGTTAATGTTGTGGTAATTTGAAAGTGACTAATTTTCTTATTGCAGCGTAACTTTTTTCTTTGACTGTGCATTGTGTAAATAAACGTTCGTGACATTTGGCTTTATGACTTCCAAGGATTTTAGTATTTATTTGATATGATCTCAAATAATTTGGAACAAGTTTTCAGAACACATTTTCCAGACATATTTCAAACTCTTGCTCATTTCTTCTGTACTACATGCACGTATGAAGACCAGAAAATTAATTTCCTCATAATTCCTATAGTAACATACGTTATGTGCGACAAAATTTGGGCTATTTAATGCAGAAGAAATAAAACACGATCAACTAACCTACATTGTTTTTAGAAATCATAGATAAGTTAAAATTCTGTTGCTCCAGCGGTCTTCATTTGGAGCGAGAACAAATTTCTTGTCTAAACTTCGAAGTCCATTTGAAGAGCCTCGTTTATTTGCACAGATTTAGGTTTCATTTGCACTATCATGTCCTGCTGATAACTTTGATAAGTTCTCCAACTTATACAAACAAGCTAAATACGCAGGTTTTCATACATTTAATTTGTTCATCACGTAAGAGAATTTGCGTAACTCAAGATTGATTATTTTGTTCGTCGTCATTGGAAACTCTTGATAACTCGGAGAAGTTCTCCCAACAAATTGAACTTAAATTTTAGCTGTATATAATTTATTTATTATATAAAGTTGGTTCCTTACGCAGAGTTGGTTCATCGTTTAAAGTAGCTTCATTATACGAATTTCCTTCGTTCATTTAAGATATCTTGTCCAAGATTGATTATTGCAGTCCAAAATTCTACAGAATAGAGTAAAGACGAGATGTTGGAGAGGTTGTAGTCGCGCTTTCTAACGCAGCCAAGAGAGTATTTTTGGCGGTGAATCATTTGGCAAGCGCTCTCAAGTCTCGACTGCTCCAATATCGTCTCCTAATTCAGAAAAAATAAGTTTTTACATGAAAATTGGGGCTTGTTGAAAAGTATATTGGCTGTACTATTTAAACACTTAGGTTGACCTAGAATTGAGATCTGAGGAATTTTTTGAAGGGATTAAAATGTTATTCATTTACGCTCATCCGAAGATCTGTTCAAAATGACATGAGAATATCATTTAAGGTTTCATTAATACGTGACTGATGTATTAAGCCCTTAGTCGTCATTCGTTCTTTCCGTTTAATGAAATTAATCTGGATGGAATCTTGAATCCAGAATCAATTTGGCTCGGTCACGTTCATGGAAGCTTAAAATTCATAACTCGTCCACTGAAATTCTAGAAAAGATATTTTAATTTTGATAGCATTTTCTTTAGTAAAATAATGTGGAATAAGAATACAGTTTGGGTAAATAAAGTTCAGTAAAAGATAATTCACAAATTAATTACGTTCATTAATCAATGGCAACATAAGCATTAACCTAAAGCATGTGTAAGTTCATTTTATTCATAATGAATTCTACATTATAAGTCGAATTCCACTGCCATATAACTTTCATGTTGATTTAATCCATATTTTTCCTTCTCTTCTAGAACTAGCCAACAGCCAAAATGTCTGACGACGAATCAGCATATTCGTAAGTATATTATTAAATTTTTGTCGAATTAATACTATTTTTTATCATTTCAATTATTTTTCATCAGGTTAGCTTGATATTTGAAGAAATCAAATAATAATTTTCATTGTGATAGAAGTGCGGTAAAATTTCTAAATGCAATCCACGCTCCACCAAATCAGAATTTAAATCAAAGCGAACTTAAGTCATTTAGTCATGAATTTCATAATTATTGCATAATTGAATCCAGTTTTTTGAACGCCAAGAATCAGCCGTAGATAAAATAGGAAGTCATGACATATTTAAATATTTATTTAAAACTTGTATTAAAATTGTATTTAATCGAAAACGAAAATTCTGTTGAATATTTTATAAACCGCGTTGTTAAGTTTTTTTTGTAAGTTCTTATATAAACTTTAGGATAACCGCCATAATACATAAGTATTAATGGTATTCTAATATGATTCTTTTTCTCTGTTTCAGGGATGCCGAGTGAGTATAAATGGAGCGAAGGGAAAAAGTATGATGTTTTTGTCAATATACACTCTAGTTTATGACTGAACTCGACTCGAGATTGCCTGATACATAATTTTATTTCTTCTTTTAAGTGATCAGAAAAAGGAACAGCTTAATAGGAGAAAATATATGCGTTAATAATGGCTAAAAATTTTTGTAACTGTGATTTACAATCAATATAAAATCTAAAATTTCCTGTTCAGAAAAATTATGGAATATAGATTCGCAAATTTTTAATACAAAGTTTCGCTCATTTTTTTGATAGAAAATTGACTATATTCTATGACACAAGTTTTATTATTTAGTTTAGATTACTGTAGTGTTTTTAATCGACCTTTATAACCTATACACCAAATTTATGCTAGCGGTAGCGGGTTCTGTAGTGACAGGGGTTGTGGTCTTATATAGCTTATAAAAACCAAGAGTTATAGACTATTTTAGTGCATACGAGTGTTGTCATACCCTTTTTAATGCATACCTTATTCTGCTGTGTGGACAATAAATTCATACAATATTCCGGTGGTCGTGACACTGGTAACGTCATTTAATCTCTGAATAAATACACTTAAAAATTAATTAAACACAGACTAATTTGCAAATCTTTAAAAGTTATTAAAAGTTTGTTTGACATTGAGACAATTGACGATCTGATTTAAAATATTTTAAAACATTTTAAAGCAGAAACAATCCGAGTTTCCTAGAAATCATTACCAGTCTCCATGACATCCACCAGCCCCTATAACGGTCGCTTCTCTCGTACAGACAGAAATTCACTAAGATTCCTACTAAAAGTTGAAAATAATTCTTGGGATGATGAATGGCCTTTCAAATAAACAATTCGTGACCCTGAAGTTATTTAAGTCAAAAATGACTAGCACCTGATGGAAAATCATGGGCGGCTTGTGGACTCTAGACATTGGGTTCCACAAATTGTCTGTATGAACTCTGAGTGTCGGCTTTTCCGATTTAAATTTTTATGTGTAAGCCACATGAAAATTTTTGGCACAAATCATGGCCGATTCAGAGGCTGATGAATGACCATTATTGTTTGGCGTCCTATTACTCGTCCGTGGTTTTTCAGTAAGGTGCAAAATTACGCAAAAGCTTTTGCTGTCTGGAATATGTGATGCATGAGCTTATCCCAATGTACCCTTTTTATTCATAATTTTGCTGTCACCGAAACGAAATGTAAATGCAGACGTCGTTTTTCCTTGCGCCATAGTTAAAAATCAAACCTAAATGTGTCAACGCAAACAATGTGAATAAATTGTTGTAAAAGCTCATACAGGAAATTCATTTCAAGCTTCCAAGCATTGCATGAAATTAAAGGAGGAAAAAAAAGTAACGGAATTACATGCGCCCAAAAATTGTCAATTGATTCAGTTTTTCGACTACATAGATATCAAGATGAGAACGCGCCGATCGCAGCATGCGAGTTCTGAAAAAAAAATAATACATATGTGAATTGAATTGTAATGAAAACCCTTCACCATCATACAATGAAATTGGGAATAAAAGTAACAAAATCACAATACAATAAATAGAAATTTCTTCGTTCCGCACTTTAATTTCTTCGTTCCGCAAAATAATCGAATTCATTAAGTCTCTCTAAAAAGTCTCTGTCCAAATAGAGTCTCTGACCACAAATTTTACCGGTTTCCAAATTTCTTCAAAGTTCGTTCATGAGTTGGTAAAGAAAAATGAGCCTAAAATAAATCTAATGATTTAAATCCCTCTACAAAAACATAAAAAAACTAAAGTTCTAAAGTTCCCCAAATCTCCATCCAAAATTTCCCTAAAAATTTCTGGCGTATCTTCTGAGATGGCGGCCATCTTCCATCCCCTCACCACGAAGGTGATGGTGGCGCGAGCCTCGATGGATAAGCATAATTCAAAATAATAGTTGCAATTCATAATTAGGAAACCATTGAACTCTCTTTCCCCAAATTGTCCCCTTTGCCCCAAATTGCTGGCGTGTCTCCAGAGTTGAGGAGACCACCGCCGCCCCGGAGCCAGCGGAAGAGCACCACGATTACGGTGGTGGTGCGGGCAGCGGCCGCGAAGATTATCGCTCTGATAGGGAGGACGACGAGTGAGTCCGTCGCTCCAAGACGTCGGTGTACTCAGAAAAAGTTTAATTTGCTTTAACTTTTACATCCCTCTAGACGTCTGACGTTGAAATAACGTTGATTAAACAACGATCGAACAATATTTTAATCAAAGTTGTTTCGGCGTCATTTGTTTGGAGGTGTAATTCATTTATTACTTCTTTTCGCGAACGACTTTGATTTGTTTGGCTTTGCCTCGCTTATGCGAATAATTATTGCGATATTATTCTTGCGAGCGCTTCCTTTAAGTTGCGAAATTTTTATTTGCCGAATTTCCGCTCGTAACTTTTTAAGTTACAATCGCCGTGCTTTGTGGAATAACAAAATGACGACACCGAATGCTAATAAATCTTTCTGTTCCGTTAAATTACTTGCGCTTGAAACATAATGTAGCATTCCATAACTAATTTGCGAATATTCGGATAAATTTTCCGTTAATTAAAACTAACTTTGTTCACTTCTCCGACAGTGACACTTGGTTAGCCCGTAGCCTAATGATCGGGAAACCGTGACGTATTTAACATTTGTTTTTTTTTCGCCTAATTCCCAAAATTATTTTCAATTTCGATTTCCATAAAAATTCTTGTCGACAAATTTTGAATTGCCGTTGTTTTACTTGTAGTTTCGGTGACCATTTCTCCTTCGTTCGAGTTTTTCCTGCACAAACTACCGTGACCAGTTGTTTTCCTAACATCGCTAGCGCAGAACTTTGGCATCTTTAATATTCTTGAACCTAATTCGTTCCTGTCACACGGTAAAACTATTGTACTCACTTCCTCACTCCATGTACCAACTAATTTTTGTATAATTTTCGTTCGGAGCCTTGAACATAACTTACATTTTGTGGTGTTAAGAGATGCATGCATGCTTTTTTAAATTTAAAATAAATTTTTTAGAGAATCCTTTCTCGAAGCAAAAATTTTATTTTTGTAGGCGGGTTTTGTAGATTAGCTACGAATGATGCGGTTGAACTTTGCATAGTTTCTACTAATGTCTAGAACAAATTTTTTTAAGATAAGATCTACTGAACTTCTATTTTTAAAATTTTCGCACATCTTTTGCTTTTTAGGATTTCAACGATAACTCGAATTAATTCGGTGGCAGCATTTCGTGACTGAAACATTGACCACCATAGAATAATCAATGCCACACTCACGCTGTAATAAGCTATAATCAAGTTCTGTACCCCTAATCTCTTCAATAGAATTCCAACTGATTCCTAAGGCTTAAAAATTTCTTTCATTTGGGTGCCCAATTTTAAATTCACCAGTTGAATGTAACTTGCGGATTTCATCCCTGTGGCTCTACTCCTGGGAGCCAAGTTGTGCTTTGAATATGATTTGCAGACATTTTTTGCTATCGCCGCTTGTTTTTTCCTTTGCAGGAAGTACGTATAAACTCTACGTGGTATGATGAGTAAAGAACCTCCGGTGGGAGGGGCAGAAGTTGCGGCAACGCTTCCCAAGCTTCCTCGCCAAACCCTTCATATTCTATTAATTACCGAACTCGTTTTTGTTTCTGTTATTAATTATTTTCAACCGTTACTGTAACGCTTGTTTGTTTCGTCCATCCTTCCCTGCTGTTGCGTCTAAATCCTTTCATGTCTCTCAAATATCAAAATTGTATTACAGGGTATTTCAGTCTCGAGTTAATTCAATTGTAGTTGTGCATCGATTTCTGACTCACATTATTTACATTCTGTAGGAACGTAATTCTTGGGTAACTAGAGACCTATTTAGCAGAAGTTTTTGTATTTTTGTACAAACATTTTTTACGAGTGCGGAAAACACGTGAAATTAATGTCTATTTAATGTTCATTGTGCAAACTAGAGCAGAAAGATTTTAATGTTCTAGACGTGTGTTCTGAATCAATCCTTTGTTCACGTTGTTACGAGTCGTGTTCTCGTCCTTATATTTTCTTAGTCATAGAAAATAGATTTCATAGCAATAGTGAACTTTGTTAGTGTATGATGTGGGTCTGATATATTTGAATATACTCGAACTCATATGAAAATTTTATTGTCTAGATCGAATTTGTGTTTACAGCTAAATGAAAATATTCTAAAATCTGTTTCTTTTTCCCCACCTCACTACAACTGTCGTCTCTTCAGGAGGAAGAAGAAGTAAGTGCATTCGATGAAATTCTCATAGATTATGTAATTCTAGAATTTATTTGATCTCTTAGAGACCTTAAAAGGCCTCTTCATCGTGCCATATCGATTGCCTCATAAATATTTACCGATAATAATTGCGAAAATTTTTTTCAAGTAACTCCATTAAATGTTCAAGTAACTTAAAAACAAACAATACGAAAAAGTGCATGTCTTGTATATGTGATTGACTTGAAAGAGCTTAAATATTCTGATATTGATCATTTTGTAGAAATTTGAAGCAAAAAATTACATTGTGGAGGAAGGCGTTCAATTCTCTATTATTTATGCAATGGTTGAAATCGAGACCTCGCTGAGAGAGCCAACTTCCTCGAAAAAAGTCTTTAGTGTTTACAGAATGATTGACATCAGGGCTGATGAAGGGCAAAATTACTCGAGGATGTTCCTTATTTTGCACACAATTTCCTATATCAAGGCCGATTAAGAGCGAAATTTCTCAAGGACATTCCTTATTGCTATCAAAATTTCCTACGAGATGAGGGGCCAATTTCCTCATAAACATTCGCCAATGTGCAAAAAATTTCCGAACATCAGCACCGATAATGAGGCCAACTTTCTATGAAACATTCTCTATTGTTTACACAACATCCTACATCAATGCTGATGAGGAGGCCAATTTCCTCTATAATATTCTCTATGATTTAAACAATTTCCTTCGGCAGGGCTGATGAGGGGGCCGATTTCCTCCAATATATTATCTTTGGTTCACACAATTTCCTACATCAGGGCCGATGAGGGGGCCAACTTCCTCAAGAACCGACAGCAGATGAAGATGTCGGAGCTGGACGAGCAGCTCGCTGAATACATTGCTATTAAATATGTTTAATATGGTCAAATATAACGCACGTCAAATGTGTTATGGTAGTGTAAAATTTATATTCAATATACAAGGATGATGTAAGATAATTGGGATAATTTTTCAACCACGGTTAAAGAAATTGAAAAGGATAGTAAAATATAATAGGAAAAAAACATGGCAGGAAAAATATAATTCAACATTGTAGCAATCTTAAAAATAAATGTTAAATTTTGTATGAATGATTAAATATAGCGTTTCCAGGTTAGACAATAATTAAATAAATTAAAAATGGAATCCGTTTCTAGGTCCTCCGAGCTGAAGAGGAGAAGAAACTGTCGGAACAGAAGCGCGCTGAGGAGGAGAGGAAGCAGCGTGAAGAGTCCGACAGGAAAGCCAGAGAACAAGAAGAGAAAAGGAAGCGCCTCGAGGAGGTCGAGAAGAAACGTCAGGCCATGATGAAGCCCTCGGTAAGGCATATATAATTTAGTTAAATACTATTTAAAGCAATAACATTTGTACTTTTATTATTTGTATGTTCAAATCGCATGTTCACCGAAAATTTAAAATCAAATAAAACGCCATGTAAATTCTTCATATATCTTCATTGAAAACGCGTCTTTTCTTTTAAATCTTCATAATATTTTTTATGTATGGATTCAAATTATCTTGAAAATGTGGATATTTTTTTTGTGGATGCATGTTGCAAATATCTTTTGTCTGACATTTTTACTTTGTCTTGAAAAATTAGCTGCGAAAGTTGGAATGGTATAGATGTGTACTTTCAACGTCTAAAAAACGGTCACAACGAGTCCTTATTAATTCCATCACATAATATAAGTTCATTATCACACTTCTCATGCACGATTTTCTCCCAATATTTCAGGACGGTGTGAAGAAGTTCGGCTCCAAGGGCGGCGATAAGGTTGGTCTTTTTTACGTGCAATAAATAGTAGTATTGTTCACGATCTCAATGATTGTCATTATTTTATTTGAAAATAAACTTATTTATCATTGCTATCATTAGTTTATTTATTCACATTCTGTTTTGTAGACCGTGTTAACTTCTGTTCATATTCATTGTACCTTGAAAACGTTTTAATTTCTTTAATGTTGCAAATTATTTTTGCTCTCATAAAATAGTTTGCTAGGTTGGGGTATTCACTGATCAAAATTTCAATTTCATGCTCGGCCAACCTGTTCCTCTTTGCAGAAATAAGAAGGTAAATTAAAACGAACATGAAAAATTAAAACAGTGACGGATATTCTAAAAACGTGGCGATCTGAAAAGTTGCGAAACTTGTAACATATTCATATATAAATCATTTTGTGAAAATTCGATGCGAGATTTTAAATTGAGAAGATAGCAGTGAACCACATATCTTTCAATTCTCAAATATTTATACAATGTTCGACATAAGGGCCGGTATATGGTGCGAGATGGTCCCACAATTTCACTTTTTAACATTTTCAATTTTCCCCGATGTGTTCCAAAAAGTTTCATCACAGGTGTCGTGACCTGCAATAACTAATCATCGATTTAAACCAGGGGATAAACGATAATTGATTAACTGTTTTTCCACTTTCCCCGATGTGTTCCAAAAAGTTCATTACAAGTGTCGTGACCTGAAATGATTAATTATCGATTAAAACCAGGAAATAAACGATAAATGATTAACTGTTTTTGCAGCTGTCAAACATCCAGGCCGCTAAGGGAGAGCTCGGCAAGACTCGCGAGCAGTTGGCCGAAGAGAAGAAGATCGCCATGAGCATACGCGTCCAGCCCCTCAACCTGGACGGTCTGCAGCCGTCGCAGCTCAGGACCAAGGCCGAACAGATGTGGAATCTTATCGTGAAACTCGAGACTGAAAAATACGACATGGAGGAGAGGATGAAACGCCAGGACTATGACGTAAGTCAGACTCGATTACCGCACTTAGAAAGAGGAAGGCTTCGTATTATCCATATAGGGATTTTGTCCAAATCTTGACACAGTTCCTTAACCACAGCATGCACGTGCAGAGGTCAGACGTAGCACTGATACACAATTTTCCTGGGTCAAAATGGCTCATGATGAACCATATAATGGCAAAAATTACACCATTATTTGGACAAAGTCTCGTTCATTTCTCATTGTGCAATCGCCTTGAGGTAACAGGATTTACTCTCTTAAAAGCCGTTTCTTTGTCAATGGATGAAGTTTTTGTACTTTTTAGGTTATAAGTGATATTCGTTTCTGTTTCTGAAGATAAATCTTATCGTATACTGTGTTTCTGAGTAAATTTGATTTATGTTGAAATATCATAATATACGAAGACGGTTTCATACTAATTCCCTCTGTTATAATATAAGTTATCTGTTCGAATCAGGAAATTAAGTTTGATTCAAGCAAGTTTGAGATCAGGTTTCGATCTATAATTATTTAATTTTCATTGTTTGATTTTTTTTCGTGTTATCAATGTTTTCTCCTTATGATTAGTTTCGTATTCTTCGGCTCTATTTATTTGACTACAAGTTAACACGATCTTCTTCGAAATGACTCAGCAAGAAGAAACATCCCGCTTCGCATCTAATTTATTTTCTCGCCATCAATCTGGAAGTTCCTAAATCGTAATTAGCTCATATTCATTTATATCAGGTCATTTCACAGCATTTAGTAGTTAATTAAATTAACATAATATTCTGTCTAAATGCCAGAAGAAACATAACAAAAAATCTCATCTTCTATTTCTTACTGTTCTTGCCTGATTGTTCAACGTCTAACATTGGAAATCGGTATCATTTCGCATTGAACGCGTCAAACATCTACGACGAAAAATATCATCTATTCAAGTATTAGCACGAGTTCGAGTAGAAATAGAAAAGCGAGAACCAATACAAGTTTGATCAAAGCAAATTCGATCCAAAAGAAGTTCATTCATATAAACTGATTGCAAGGAAAATAATTGTCGTTTAGCATGCCAGATGCAACTCAGATGACTTTAATTACATAAATTTAGACGAAATTTTATACGACCAGACACAAGAATGTCATGTTCATATAATTCAGTTTCATTTTAACAATCAAAATGTATTTCACTTGCCTGAAAACTGAATTTTAACTTTTCACGATTTCACTTACCTCAGTCGCACTCCAGCGAATAAATTATATGAATAATTATTATAAGATCTGAAACGGGCTTATAATTAAATTCTCAGCTCAAGGAACTTCGTGAACGACAAAAACAGCAGCTGAGACAAAAGGCTTTGAAGAAGGGTCTCGACCCAGAGTAAGTCTTTCTCTAGATTCAAAATTTTCCCGTAGAAAAAGGAACGTTCGTTGTTCATCAAAGATTAACCACCCGAACCTTATCTTTGATTTCAAAGTAAAATTCGAGAACATTCGATCAGCTGTTGTTGAATTTCAACGTTTTATTAAGAATAGGCCTTTGATTTGTAATCTTCAGTTTTTCGGTTCATTTGAAAATATATTAAATAAAAATTACGAACAATGACGGTTCCTTCCTTATAGTTGGTCATGAGTAGACGTCGAACTGTTTGATCCTTTTTGCACAGCATATAGTCGTCGCTAGCTTGTTGAACTCCTGTGGTGGAAATCCATTGCCTGTTAGATCACAGTCCTGTTTCTCGGAGCAGTTTTTAGTGACTAGAATAACCCTCTAAAACTTAGGGGTTCTTCAACAACAGTTGTGCGTCGCTGGGTCCTAGTTCATCCGATGTGCTGTAGAGAGTTTCATCATAAATGTCGTGTCCAAATCGAGCCAAAGTTCATCTCCCATTTTTTCACAGTCCCGAGGAAAATCTCAACTCACGTTCCTCCATTCGTTCTGCATCTACCTGCCTAGCTAGTTAATTTTGTTGACCTTTTTTCTGCTTGGTATGCTATTAATTTTTTATAATCCTGAATATTTTCAGTTGAAGGAGTTAAAAGAACGACAGAAAATGCAACTTAGGTCAAAGGCCTTGAAGAAAGGACTTGATCCCGAGTAAGTTGAATGATGAAAGAACATCCCAATCTATTTGACCGTATCCCATTTTATTTGACCAAAATAAAATGAAAGGCAGAATCTCTCGACGATATTCTCGCCAGTTTGAAAACCACGCATTTAACACGTCTTCGAAAACACCTCAACTTGATATATGCCTTTTGTAATGCTTTGTAATAGCACTAAAACTTTTTGACCTGTTTTTTGATGTGTTGCCTATTTTTTCTATTCGTTTTTTTAAAAAATTAATTTTGATTAACGAGGTTAAGTTGATATAATATTTTACCTTCTAATTTTCGCGGGACGCAAGAAGCGAGGACACATTTTGTCTCGATCTCACCTGTAGTATGTATAATTGTTTTCTGTTTAACAAAAGCGTTCGAAGTATTTATTTTGGTTCTACCTTGGTTTCTTGCAGTAATTTTCACCAACAGTTTTATCCGTGACTTAGTTTCTTTAGGATGAAATTTTCTGTGCATCACTTTGCAGTTGAAAGAACTCAAAGAGCGTCAGAAGATGCAGCTGCGACACAAGGCGACCAAACGTGGTCTGGAGCCTGAGTAAGTTATTTCATCAAGTGTTTAATTCAACTGGTGTAATTATTATCTAAAAGCAATTCTTTCAACTTTATCATTTGGTTACTGTGAAAGTTATCATATTCTTGCGCCAGTAACAACATCTTAACAAAGAGCTTCATATTTTATTCGTTTCTTTATAATTCTGAATTTGACCGCTTTGGGAGAAATTTAATAAGGCTAAAAAAACTCTATAAAATTTCGGAAGATCGAAAAGTTGAAATTTATTCAAATATGAAATATTTAGCCCGACTAGTAATCTAAAATATTTTACGCAGTAAACAAATATGTAATACGATAAAAACTTGATTTCAGAATTGGAAATTCAGTAAATAAAGTAAAAAAAGTTAAACTCGAATTGAAAAATAGAGCAAAAAATTTTTACTGCAAACTGTTGCACACTGCCTTGATAAAATACCCTACTTCGTACACGACATTTAAATTCTTTAGTAGGCTGATCTGTCCCACAGTTTTTTATAGCGTTGGACATGTCTTGCCTGTTGTTAACAGTAAATTGGAGTGACCGGAAATCAAAAATATGAATTTTTTTAGTGTTAACAGACTAATTGTTTTTTTTCCCGCAATTTATGGTGCAATGACGAAGGCGCTTTGAAAAGTAAGTGATTTTGGATGGTACAATGAGCATGCCTGGTTATTAACCTCATATTTGTAATTCTGTTGTCGATTATAGCTTTTCGAAATATGTGTGATTCATTAATTGAGGTCCACTCATGAATCTAATATCCATTTTTTAATGTGTAATGCTCTTTGTTAAATTATCACCTTCATTCACACTTAATATATTTCTTGTTATTTCGTATTCATTTGTACCTTTGCTAGTGATTGTATTAGTGACCAATTTCAACTTAGTTAGAATTGCATTGTAATAATTATAGTGGATTTCGTGTTTGGTTTTATTTTGATTATTAATCTGATCAATCAATTGTTTGATAATCAATGTTTCAGGCTGTCGCGGATATTTTCTTACGTAGAAAATGTCAACAGAATGATTATTCATCATTTAAAATCCAGTTGTTTGTGACGTGATAAATTTTTGCTTTTCTCTATTTTTAAGACTTTGAAGTTAGTTTTATTGAAAATTTGATGTCTGCCATATTCGTCTGTCCGTGCATGCAAGAAATTTTACTCCCAACCGTGCAAAATTCCTACCCGATTCTAAGCTCAAATTTCAAACTCATGGAAAATTTCTCTGTTCTATTTTTATCTTCATCGATGTCTCCAATCACACCTCGGCCCTTGGATTTTTTCACGCATCTTTTCACTGAAAATTCATCGGTGATTCATCGATGCATTGCCATCAACAATCATCGGCGTCACTGCGCTTGCTGCTCCGGCTGGGGCTTGTGGCTACAGAGCTCTCACCGGCAAGCACCCTGTAAGTTACGAATATTTGTTTTAATTAATAAGATTTATTGTTAGTCTGTTTAAAATGTTGACATAAATGTAATTAAGTAATTAAAATTAATAATTGATTTAATTTCAATGATTACAAGATATAATTATTAATTACATCACGTGTTTAGATGGGAATAATAATTCCAGGATCATGAGTTCGTAGTTTGTGTTAACAAAAATACTAGATTCTTCCAAATTTCAGGAATAAAAAATCCCGGTTCCACAGTGTAGAAATAGATAACTTATATTGAACTTCAATCTAAATTATTAATATAGGAGTAAATACGAGTGAATTTATTGGAGCTAATTGACTATAACATAACCAACAAAATTATGACCAGCTTATAGTGAATTTATTCGCAAAGAATATGTTTGCATTGATTTTTATTTCATATAAAAATATTTTCATAATTTATCAATTAATTATTTTTTTCAGCCCAAGATCCAGACCGCCTCCAAATTTGAGAGGCGAACAGACCGTAGGACTTACGACGATAAGAAGAAACTTTTCGAAGGCGTAAGTAAATCTCTTAAAAATATATTTATTTTATTGACAACTATTACGCATGTAATAGTTGTGAAATATTATTTATTCGTGAAATATTTTTATTCGTGACATAAATGCTATTCAATTAAAAAAGAATTCCAGAAAATGATTAAAAATTTCAACATGCACGGCACATTCATTTTACAGCAATCCATTAATTAAATCCCGCCGACGAAAACTTCTTTCTGTGTTTTAATTACTCAGGCATAATTGAATTATGTATAATTATATAGTTTTTTTGCAGGTTTCATTACCGTGATGTTTTTGGGTACTTAGAAAACAGCATGACATTTTTTCTAGCAGTTTATTAGAATTCGACTGCAAATGCTGTAAAAAAACGCGTTTCTCCACAACTGTAAAGCCAGTCGTTGCCCACGCCTAAGGCATTGAGATCGATCGATGTAAATTAGCTAGAGCCTTTTACATTTCACTATGCAGGGATGGGACAGCGTTCGCAAGGAAGAAATTGAGAAGCTGTGGAAGGAACACTACGAAGAGTTCATGGCCCGCACTATCAGTAAGTGTGGCTCTTTTCCAATGCCACCTTACGTATCGTGTTTTCAACCACAGCGGTGAACACTAACGGTTTAAACAAACTGCCTCTTGTGTAGTTGATGACTGTTTAAAGTCGGCATAATTATCAGAAGTTATCATTGAACTGGGAAGTAGTTCAAAAAGAATTGTGCATGCGAGAACCAATATGGCCTAAAATGAAATTTGATCCAAGATGAGAACTTCTGATTAGAGTGTCAATTTTGTTTGTCGGGCGAAGGGTGACTGAGGTTATGTACCCTGTTTGTAAATTTATAAAATGTCTACGTCTTTGTCCGTACGTTTGCAGAGTGTTGTGTAGTTCATTCCCTACACAGTTCTAGTGTTTTTCTATAAAAGATTGTAGAATTTGTTTCACGTTCACTTATCTAGAGATTGTTCACAACTTTTACTCATTTTGATTAGCTGCGTTTCCGACAATAATGATACAAATGCTGATAGTTGCTCTGAAGAAGATGCCCTTATTTGCTTACGCTAAATACGTTATGCATTGTTAAATTTTTGCGTTGTTCAATAACGCTTAGTTTTCACTATATCATTCAAATGCGTCGTATTCGCGGTATCGTTCGAGTGCCGTTAATAATTTTAGACGTTCCCGCAGAGCAAAACCGTCGTTCCCTTAGCGGTAAACTTACTTTTATTTCAAGAGCGGGAGGCCTTCGAAGAAACGTCGTTGTGGGCGAGTTGAGCGGAAAATCTTGATGTCAAACTTAGAATGAGTTCTTTAGCTGCGACAATAGCGAGGTTAGTTTTCTAAACAAACTAGATTAGTTGAGTTAAAGTAAATCCAACATAAATGGTACATAGCGAGAATATAACTCTCAAACATTCGACTTTGCGCGATTTGCTCGCGAGAATTTTTCGAGAATCTTCAGTTAATATTCAACGACATAAGTCTAATTTTTGTGAATATCTCTCGGAAAATCTACGATTGATTTCCGATTTGTCGCGAATCTCCACTCGGAACTCAACGATTGAGTTCTGACTTTACGTGATCTCTCCAAGGAACTCTCCGAATGAGGTCCGATTTTACATAACTAAAATACATGATTTCCTCGTGTTTATCTTCACCAGGGCTTAGACGACCTCTTGCGTGAAGACATGGAAAAGAAATGGTCGGAAAATATGGCTGTATTTGAAAGCCGATCTCGGGGTAAGATCAATTTTAATTCCTGTGAGCTACCAGTTCCCGCGATTGCATTTCTCTATTGCTTTTAATTGGAAGGGAGGACTTGTCTCTATTTTAATACAAGTATAATATTTTATTTTCTACGCTACTATTTTCAATTTTTCTCATATTTTCGTAGAAATTTGCCGCTGTGAGTCATAATCAAATTTTCACCGAAGTTTCGATTCGTCGCATTTAATGTCGACAATTTACTTGCTAGTTTATATAAACGCATGCCCACGTTGCGGTGATCGTCGTCTTCGATGGCTCTCGCAAATTTATATTTATTTGCGTTCAATTATTTTTTTCGTGTATGAATGTTGTATTTGTTCCTGGACGGCTGTACCAGCGTTGTATTTTACGTACATTTTCCTCTGAACTCTTTTTCATTCTTGGATTGGAATCGGTATTTTCAGAATTAACAATCTTTATGTATTTTAAAATGCGTGAATAACTGCTATGCATGCATTGCAGCTAATATTTTTCGTTGATACATTTTCCTATTCTCGATGTTAAGCATAGTCTCGCTAAACTGCTTTTTGACTAACCTTGATAAAATCAATTGTAATTATTAAAAACCTTAAACTATTGTTTTAGATTTCACAACGGATCCTTTCACTTTCCAACGGATTCTTTACGCATGTGTTCACTACACATACATGTCATTAATGAATCTACACATTTTACTAGCAAGTCACGAATGTATTTTTTGTATGTAGAAGAAACACGAAAACAGAATACAAATTAGCACTTAATTTCTTTGACTGACGTCACGGCATTGCTTGACTTTTTGGTCTCGATATTATGAGGAGAAAATTTAGAATATTTATTATTTATTTTTTGATCACAATTTTTTTTTAATTTAAATTTAAGGTTTACGCATCATCAGTTAATATATTATCGAGCAAAATAACAATAAACGTTCATATTTATTCTTCATATACATTTTATATAAACTGTGATATTTTGAATCCGATATTTTTCATGCTGCAGTAAGAATCTCAATAGAAGTAATAATGCTTGATGCATTAATGTCATTATATTATTTTAATCAATGCCATTATTTTATTTTAATTTTACTTCGTGTATGAACGGACGGTCAGCCATTGGCTTAATATCAAGTAAACCAAATATTCATCAAGTTCGATGAGTTATTTTTCCGTAATTCAGAAACGACCACAAAAAATTAAAAAAATTTATGGTATTTTCAAAATATGGCTGCACGAAGCCAAGCAATCACTTTCGATACACCGAAGCAATATAACTTTGACGATTTAAAATACTAATAAAATAAGATTATCGAAGGTGATATCCTTAACAAGTATTGAATACAATTTTTCTTTAAATAATACAATTCAATGAAGAATAATCAATTTTAATCTTAAAAGTTTCATATTATCATTTCAATGCCTAAAACACCAGAATTAATACAAACAATATTATGATAAATAGATTAGCAATGTTATGTTATTAGCGATGATTAGCAATGTTATGTGTTATGTTATTAGTAATGCTTTCACATGACGATGATTTATACCAATAGTTTTGAATAATATTTAATTACATAGAACAGCGTGTATTTTTCTTGTAATAAACACCTAAGAATGGTAAAAATATTATCAAACGATACCGTATTATGTAGGAATGTAACACAATCATTAAATTGACGAGAGTTCCAATAATAAGAATGTTCTTTCAAGGCAATAAATTAACGTTAGTTATAATAATAAGAATGTTGTTTAAAGGCAATAAATTAACGATAGTTATAATAATAATTATGTTATTTCAAGGCAATAAATTAACGATAGTTATAATAATAATAATGTTATTTCAAGGCAATAAATTGACGAGAGTTATAATAATAATAATGTTATTTCAAGGCAATAAATTAACGATAGTTATAATAATAATAATGTTATTTCAAGGCAATAAATTGACGAGAGTTATAATAATAATAATGATATTAAATGACACAAAATAACAAATTTGGTTGGTATGACAGCTCGGCTGCCTAAATGGTTCGGCGAGCGCCCCGGCAAAAAGGGTGACAAGGGCGCCGATACTCCTGAAGAGGGTGAAGAGGGAGAGGCTGAGCTGCCCCCTCCACCACCTCCTCCAGCTGAAGAGCCCGAAGAAGAAGAGGAAGAGGAAGAAGAGGAAGAAGAGGAGGAGGAAGAGGAGGAGGAGGAAGAGGAAGAAGAATAAATCGTGGGTATTCAGCATTTTTCAATAGTTGGTCTATAGTGAGCGTTCAATTTTACCGTTATTCTCGGAGATATTTTGTGACATCCATTTAAACACATTCTACTTCGATCGGATGCGATAAACTGTTTGTTTTTTTCGCTGGGAAAATCATCCTATAATTGAAATTTTTAAATTATTCTTCATTGCGTTACGCTGTATTTATAAATATACTTCCTTCGTTGTTCATACAGTCGCTGACAAGTGTAATATTGTAGAATAAAAATATTTTTTCTTCTGCAGATTCTACCGCAGTTACTCTGGATCCTCAACATACGATAAGTTCTGCGACTTCCAACTTCGCTCGTACCTGCAAGCTATTGAAATTACTTGAAATTGTCAAGTGTAACTGAATCATCATGCATCAAATAATTGATCATTTGCGGAAACCGTTTTGATGTTATTAAATCCATCCAACAATCTTCGGAAAAAAGTGGATGATCCAGCCCTTCATCCTCTTTTTTCCAGGAGTTATTAAAGCGTGATTTACGCATTTGATTTTCAAGGAGTTTGCACTTGAAAAAATTTACCATCGCGTTGAGATAGGGAAAACCGTGGCGATGAAACATCCGCTCACGTTCGTTCGTCATTATCATCAATAATCTTACAATAAGTATTCTATACGATGTTGTTCGTTGTGTTAATGTTGGCTATCCTTTAATAATTGTGGATTCACCGACTATGGGGTGATAGGTGACATTTTTGTCGATTAAAATGGATCGCTCGCACCAGATGAACAACCCAAAATGAAACAAGCTTCAAAATGATAATAGTATAATTCGTAAAAAATGCAGATTTCGAGCTACGATTCCTACAATTTATTGAACTACCAACTGATCAAAACTTGTACGCTCTTCAAAGTCACACTCACATTTAGCGCATGAAAGTATAACGAAGAAAATCTATACATTGAAGATATTAATCCTGTTAATTTATAACGCTCACTAATCCTTGTACTCCACATGTTATAATTTTCTGTAAATGACTTTTTTTGTTGTCTATTTTGTGATTTTCTTTCTCTAGCGCTTCCTTTTTCTTCCTCCGTCTTTCCACAGTGGTAGTTACATTAAAAAGAACGAAAAACCTGCATTTTCATTTCCTTGTATTAGTATCTTGGTCGTCTATAGTTTTCCGGCTATCGCATGGATGCGTCGTAGGTGCATGGATGAAGTATTATGAAATATCTTAGCCTTGGGAATGAATTTTTTCAATTTCAATTCATTACATTAGTTGATGCCGAACACGGCTGCGTGTTGATATCATTATTGAAATTTGCTATTGCAATTTCAACCTCAAGCTTTTCTGGTTAGAGATTCACAAAGACTATTAAAAGTTTGCTAATATATGAAAGCGTAAAAATCAGTTGAGGTATTTTGATCGAGACAGAAAAAATACATTCGACTAGCAGAAGCTAATCATCAATTGGTTTGGCCAATAAAAAATCCGTCGGTCTCGAGCACAATTGAAGTCCGTTGTCTTACGGAACTTCACGAGCCTGGATATACCAGCCTGTAGCCGGCCGAAAGTTATCTCTGTCAAATGCAACAATTAAACGGATTACAAGAAAGCTCTAAAATGGTCCGCCGTCCAGAGATGCAATATTTTCGAAGTTCCGGACATGAGTTGTGCTTTGTCTCTGACATGAGACGGTTGTGTCCAACGAGTCCCTATTTAAATGCTTGAAGTTGAAATAGATTACTAGTGCACGATTAATAATGATATAACAAATAACCTCAAAATGAAAGATAAATAAAGATTTTTCCCGACTGCTATACTGATTAACTATTCGTAATGAAATCGGAAACGAAAGACAATATCTGATATACAACTATAGAAGTTCTAGCCTATTGGTCGTGTTATACCTCGGTATGAACAAAATAAATAAAACTAAGTGAATTGCATGATGAAAATCAAAGTATTTTTTGATATGACCTACATTTTTATTGGTAAGTTTTAGCTGGAGTTAAAAAATAATGTAATTAATTATCGTTTGTATCGTTCCGAAGTTCAGCGAAAGCACCAAGGTTACGTAAACTTTAATCTGCCTGGCATAAGAATTTTTTTCCCTGCCAATAAAAAATAACTATATAAATTAACGGACAAGTAAATAATTTAAGTATCAAAAATTAACCTAAAAGTTAAGTAGCTAGCAATCACAAAGCAAAGTGATTATGAAGTTTGAGTTTCATTTGCTAGCTGGTCATTTAATTTTTATAATGATCAGAGCGTCACATCAAAGATGTGAAAGTAAATCCAATGTTGGACGATGTTTCAATGACTTTTACCAAGCTTAGATTACCCATAATTTCAGATTAATTAGTCTTTTTGCCAAAAATTACTTTAAGATTATCAAATATAGGTCTATTTCCGCTGAAGGTGCAAAAATATGGCTGCTATCTCTTAGCAGCCCGAAATCACAGCTCGCCTATATTTTTCGCCAAGGAGACGTTAATGAAACATTTTTATAACCTGGGAGAATTTCTAGGGAACACCTATCCTCCTTGGGAAATTTCGTCGGCGAAACATTAGCACGACATTTGTTTACAGTTGCTATGGTCCAACAGAATGCTGGTCTTCTCTGGGTATTACATTTGCCTTATTTTTTCATGGAAGGCTGCACTTTGTCGATTTCGATTCTGGTTGCACTTTATCAATTCCGACTTCCTCGCATTTTGGCAGGTGAGATTATTAGACATCCACCACGTCATAGGAAGTAGTTTAAAAGAATACCCATATTAATGTACATATATCGTTTCAACTATTTATGCTTAGCTTATTTGCTATTATAGAAGGCTAAATACGCTTTCTTGAATATTTCTAGTCGCAGAAGCTAAGCTGACACAACCTAATAATTGAAAGCTTTTGATGTACTAGAAATCTGGTCTTATTTAATGAAATGAACGACGTCGCCTGAATCCCAAATCTTAAGATGCCTCTAGTCGAAATTAATATGAAGCACTTCGATTATTTAAGCAGTCTTATGATCGAGTTTAAACTTGATCTGTGGTTCGGCAATCCCATAAATTATTATTTCATTTGATGCTCAAACCCGGGATCCGACGGAAATTTTAAGTCAGCCAATATATTTTCTAGAGTTATTCAGCTTAAGCTTCCTATCTAAGTTGCCAACATTCTTCAGTTACACAGATTTGTGCGTAGTTTCGCGGCTGCCGAGTTTGCATTCCGTATTTTTGAAATCATGTTTAGCAAGAATTTTAAAAATGTTTGAACATTTTCTGGAATTTTTATCGCTCTACGTTTTGGACGTTTTCAGATTAATATGACTATATCCTGCGAAATCTCGATGTCTGTGATGTGGATTGTAATACAAGATTGTGGAACTGGCACTTGTTAAATGCAACCTTGAAAACCGCTTCTACTCTTCTTAATAGACATGGTTCATAGTCGGTGATGAATACCGCAGCTGGTGTTTTCAAAACCGAGCCGATTTTTCATCTGCGTCATATTCGTCGGAAAAGAAGGCTGTGTCTTTGCTTTCTTCATCGTTCGAGCCCTGTCAAATATAAAGTCAGGCATTCGTCTCTGCAGTGAAGTCTTCCGTGGACAAATCTGAAGAGCCATGAATGCACTTGGAAGCCTCAATCTTTGATTCTGAGGCAGTATTATCAAAACTCGTTCGAGTACACAAAACGGCTTAAGTACACGAAGCAGCCGATTTCTCATCTGTGATAAATGGGTTCAGCATGAAAAGCCGTCAGTGATTGGCTGACTGAGTGAGAAACTCATAGGTAACTATATTAGTGATAGCACGGCCCTCTACGGTGAAACGTCTTCAAGCACAATTTTGTCACTGAGTTCAGTTTCAGAAGAGGCTTCCAAGAGCACACAGAGAGAGAGAACCTGATCTCGCTATACTATATCTTCTGTATTACGAAGACGGCATCGATTAAAGTTATAAATAGGATTCAATAACTAACTGTGTAGATAGTGAAGTTACTAAAATGAGTATGCGGCGTCAGTGGCGAACGGAAGGGACGTTTCTTTGAAATTTAAGCCATCAAAGACTATTACGAGTCGTTATCAGACTCTGACCGCGACAATGACACTTAAAAAAAATATAATTCAGTACTCACTGCAGTGAGTGACAGAGAGCGCATTTTCTCGTCGAAGAAAACTTGAGATCACGGACGGACAGACGGACGGACGGACAGACAGACAGACGGACATGGCGAGCACAATAGTGCATTTTTTCCATAAATGAGAGAATGCACTAAAAAGGAGTCTTTAGTCGAGATTCCTGTAGATCTGCTGGGAGAAGACGCCGATTTCTGACAAATTCTTATAGTTTTTAATCGTTGTAACTCTGACGTTATGTATGTGGTAGCATTAGGATGAGATGTGAGCGAAATAAGTTTTACTCAATCAATGGCACCAAAATATATATATTTTTAATTTTCCGGGAGTCTTAGTCATCTAACCTAGTTTCGATAATAATCGCTAGCATTAATTGGTTTGCCATGCTGTTCAGCTCTCAACTACAGAGCCTTTCAAATAAATTTTTGACGATTAATTAGGCAAGTTTTTATCTATTTTCGAATTCAGTTTGTGAATCAACTTGTTGTAGACATATGCGTGTGTATGAGCAGAATACTATCACTTCTTAAAATTTCTTTCCAATCTTCGTAATCTTTGATTCTTCAACAAAATCCAGGAATGATCTTAGAAGCGATAAAGAAATTAATGGCTGGTTGATGAACATTCCGTGAATTCATATACCAAGCATCAATAACAAATGAATTAATTATGAACCGCGAATAGAAATTTCGTAATAAATGAAAGGAGCAATTGGGAACAGGAGCGAGAGGCGAGACTCGCTCCTTCGTCGTCAGCTGAAGAGGAGGGAGCGAGCGGTGTTGATTAAACAGCGTCTGCTTGAAGTCGGGCCGCAAGCTGGTCTTTACCTCGCTTTCGTGATCTATACTGCTTTGGGAGCTAAGGTAATTAATAATATAAGATAATAAGGTTATTATATCTGAGCTCATTTATATTTATTCTTAAATTCATAGTTAGACTTTATATCGTTTATGTTTAGTGAGAGAAACGGTGCGTGATTAGGTCGGGTTCACACCATTCTGCTCGGCACGCCCCAGATTCATGCATGCATGGTTGAATTAATTCAACCATGCATGCATGTCATGCACGGTCCTGTCAAAAAATTCAATACCCTTCCATATAAGCATCCACACCATGGGCATAGCAGGTACCTTTCATTAAAGAAGAAAATGCATAGAAATGCATTAATTAAATTAAATGCATAGAGACTCATTTAAGGATATTGGACTGGGACTTGATAATGCAAATGAAACGTAAATTAGCCAGAATAAAGGAGGCTTTTCAATGGGACTTCGTAGTTTAGACAAGAAATTTGTTCTCGCTCCAAATAAAGACTGCTGGAGCAACTGCAACTGGCATTGCCTGGCACGTGCGCGGTTGTTTGGTGTGAACCGGCCCTAGAATACCACTTAAACTGCAATTCAAATACTTCAGTTTCGGGCTTATATTTATTTTATTACGATTATTTTTTACATGGAGAAAAAGATTTAATAAATGATGTGTTACAGTTACATTTCGATTACCTTGTTACAATGTACGTAAATTTGCGGTAAAAATACATATTCAAAATGTGAAAAATTGTCGTGGTAAAATTTTTGAAAATTTATGTTTTGATTTTCAATATTGTAATTTTGATTTTTTCTTTTATCATGGTAAAATTTTTGAAAATTGATGTTTTGATTTTCAATATTTTAATTTTTTATTTTGCCTTGTCCCCTAAATGGTAAGGTTTTCGTGGCCCTCGAACATCCCCCGGAGGAGGCGCGTTACCTTGCAGCGATCCGGGACCTGAGCGACTCGCGGGAGTTGTTCCTCAGCGTCCTAACCAAAGAAAGCGCGAACATGCATTATTAAAGTAAATAAATAAAACGAAAAAAAAACAAAGAGTGATCACTCAAAATAATAAATAGCATTTAAGAAGGAGTGGCCTTATACACTCCTAACGGAGCAACATTAATGTGATGTTTACACCACCAAGTCTTACAGCCAACACTCTACTATTTACAAATTCATACCCAACAATAGGTACGAAGAAAAAGAAACTTAGAACCTAAGTAATATGGAAATTTCTAACAATTCACCATTCCTATCCATTAATACCATTCACAATTCGTGAATGCGTGTTTGAAGTGTTAACTACAAAATATTTTATAATGAGAATAGTTCCTTTCCCGTCCATTCACCATTCCTATCCATTAATACCATTCACAATTCGCGAATACATGCTTGAAGTGTTAATTATTCCTTTTCTTATAATGAAAATAGTTCCTTTCTCGTCCAGGATTCGATCGCGTCGGCCCTGACGCGTTACGAAGGCGCCGTCGAGAGGGCAGTAGGCGCTAGGGTATCGATGACTCGGCCTCTTAAGCCGCGCTACCAGTGGCGCTTTATGGAGAGCGTCCTGTTCGCTTGCACTGTCATTACCACCATTGGTGAGCGGTATTACTTGTTTTGATTCATATTCACTGACATCACTACCTTTATTGAGCGCTTTTATTTTTAATTCTCTCCTGTCGTGTGAGTAATTTATATTAATTTCAATATAAAAACCCAACAACAACAGTATGGTTTTCCTTTTGCTACTTATTTGATGGCAATTTTATCTGGGAAACCGCTATTTGAAGCACACGTTATGCATGGGGGAAAATTTAGAAGATCTCTTGATCATTTTTAGATTTTTCTTTTGGCAAGGTAGTTGGAAATGGATCGATCATGAAACAAACTTATACATTAATTAGCTTGTATAAATATCTACGGTGTTTGAAGCTAATATTCAACTTGTTTTCTAATGAGAAATAACTTGATTTTAATATAAATGGTACACTTAAATGGTAGAATGATAGTAAAGGGAATTATATTTTTGCACGTTTAAACGTTTTGAAATTACATCTTGTTATGAAAATGTAGCGTTCTTTTCCCTATTACATACTGCTTAGTTTAATTATTCTTAGGCTCATATGTTCATTAATTTTCGAGTTATGTAAGAAAACAATGAAAATGAAGGGATGAACGAATAATTTCGTCGCTAACTGTATTTCGGTCTATCTTGTCAACAACTCTACTATCGCAGCTTTACGCGCGTATTTTCTAAATAATACAACAGAAAGGAATTTTCATTCTGACATTGTGATAAATTTTACTTAGTAATATAATCTAGGATTTATTTTATTGTCTTCAGGATACGGTAACATGGCTCCAGTCACTCCAGAGGGGCGTTTGTTTTGTATATTGTACGGCTTCATCGGCATCCCCTTGACGCTGTCCGTCATAGCAGCGCTCGGGAATCTTTTCGCCAACGCCGTGTCGGTTACAGGCGCACGGGGCAAGGCTTGTCTCAGCGCCTGGGGGCTCTGGAAGAAAAAGGTTTGAACGAAATCACAACATTGGTTTTAATGCTGATGACACGATAAGGCAATCTTTTTAATGCTGATGACACGATTAAAAGATTGCTTAATAGAGTGGCAATTGTAATTCGAAAATTGACTGGTAATTTGTGTCTAAATAAAACTCCTAATTATATAATTAGCGAAATTATATAATTATAATTTCGTTAATTATATAATTATATAATTATATAGTTATTTCAACTTAATTACTTCATAATAATTAAATAATAAATTAATCATCAAATGAACGAAATCACAACATTGGTTTTAATGCTGATGACACTATTAAGCAATCTGTTTAATGCTGATGACACGATTAAAAGATTGCTTAATAGAGTCTCAGCGCCTGGGGGCTCTGGAAGAAAAAGGTTTGAACGAAATCACAACATTGGTTTTAATGCTGATGACACTATTAAGCAATCTGTTTAATGTTGATGACATGATTAAAAGATTGCTTAATAGAGTGGCAATTGCAATTCGAAAATGACGGGTAATTTATGTCTAAATTAAACTCCTAATTATATAATTAACGAAATAAACTATATATAGTTCTTTCAACGTAATTACTTCATAATAATTAAATAATAAATTAATCATCAAAGTAATAATTTTCGATAATTGTTACATCTTGGACCTCATTAGCCTAAACCAAGAAGAAATATTATGGAATGAATTTCATGAATAATTAAAACTAAATATTATAGAGATCTCAAAATGAATTTTAATACAGTTTACGTAATATCTTTTAAGTCTTACCAGTCTTAATTACGATATACTCGATCGATTACTAAAACCTTTATGTAATCATTATTAATAGATGTTACACAATTCTGTTAGCTGAACTTTATTTCTCAATACCAAAACTAGATTGTTTAAATTTAAATGATAAAACTTCATTTTTCAATTAGCCTGTAAGGAGCGACGTGAATTGCGAGAAGACCGTGTCACGAGGAACCATGGTTTTTGGAGCAGTCTTTGCCTATTTACTTTACACGGCAATTGGAGGAGCAATCTTCACACTCTGGGAAGAGTGGAGCTTCTTTGAAGCTTTCTATTTTTGCTTCATCACCATGACCACAATAGGACTTGGTGACGTTGTGCCAGGTATTCAAAACAAAATAGTTCGTTGTCAAATTCTTCTACGTAATATTTTTCATTTGTTCTATTTAATTCCAGCTTACCGAGTGAGAAGTTTTCATAGTAGTTCGAGAATTGTCTCTGTCAGAAATAATAAAACTTTATTTTCGATAAAAAAATGAAATAATGACAAATAATTTCAGAAGTAAGATTTTTCTATAGAAGCGACATGCCGTTGTTTGTTATTGAAAACACTGTACTATTTAGTGGAATATTTATTCCAGCCTATACCTGTGTGAGCAGACTGGTGAAAATTCACTATTTTTGACCACAGTCACGACAATTTTCTAAGCGAAGGATCTATAAAATTGAAGTATCAATTACAGTGAAGTCTTTCCTAAATAAAAAATTAGAGTCGCCTCAGCTTCTGATCAGACTCTGGGGCGGCTCCAAATTTCGTTAGGGTGCAAATCCCAGCCCCAGTGAAAATTTACAGACGCATCAGCTTCTGATTTGGGGTACCAGAAGCTGGGGCGACTCTAAATTTTGTTCTAGAGCGCACAGAATACATCCTGGTATGCACGGTGTATATCTTGGTTGGTCTCGCCCTTACCTCTACCATCATCGAGCTTGTGAGGAGGCAATACGCAGAGAGCTGGCAGCACATGAAGGTAAGCTAGATTGTGATTATATTTTAGAGTTTACGTGAACATTATTCGAACTCAAACTACTGAAACTATTTCATTGATTACAATAATAATTTTAAGCCTTGAAGTTTCGAATATAAATTAAAATATTTTTTACAGTAAAGTATGTCTGTATACAGACTCGGCACGAAATTGCAGCATTTGGTGTATGTGTTAGGAATGAAGGATAAAATACTAGGTAAAATATTAATTCAGTAATATTAGATAAGATAGCAGGAATTGTAAATAAACTAATAGCAATTATAAATTGTAAATAAACTAACAGGAATTATAAATAAACTAACTGAAATCATATATGAACTAGCTGGAACTGTAAAAAAACTAACAGAAATTATAAATGAACTAGCTGGAATTGTAAAGAAACTAACAGGTATTATAAATGAACTAGCAGGAATTATAAATAAATATGAAGAAATGGTAAATAAACTAGCAGGAATTGTAAATAAATCTGCAGGAATTGTAAGTAAAGCAACTGGAATTATAAATAAACTAACAGGAATTATCAATAAACTAACAGGAATTCTAAATAAACTTGCAGGAATTATAAATAAACTAGCAGGAATTCTCGTAAACTGATAGGAATTGTAAATAAACTAGCAGGAATTGTAAATAAACTAGCAGAAATTATAAATAAACTAGCAGGAATTATAAATAAACTAGCTGGAATTGTAAATAAACTAGCTGGAATTATAAATAAACTAGCAGGAATTATAAATAAACTAACAGGAATTATAAATAAACTAACAGGAATTATAAATAAACTAGCAGGAATTATAAATATTGACTGGCACAGTAGCAATTGACTGGCACAGTAGCAATTGGCTGGCACAGTAGCAATTGACTGGCACAGTAGCAATTGACTGGCACAGTAGCAATTGACTGGCACAGTAGCAATTGCTTTCTTCGGAGCCTTCGTCCTTTTCACCGATTCCCACCATTAGTCAGTCGTTGAAATAACGTTGGTTTAACACTGTTTCAACGAAATGAATTAGTTATCAACGTTGTTTGAACGTCATCTGCGTGCAGGGATTCTATATAGCAACGCTAACAGTTGTGAGCTACGTTCATGGTTGGAACGTTGTGGCAATTTGATTCAGTCCAATGAATTTTCGCATCGAAAATCAACGGGATAAGAGAGCTGGATGAATTTTAATCTGTACAATGTACACTGCTGTACAGGCTGAGGTACGTGATGAGATTAAACCCAGTGGACAGAAGCAGGGAGTCGAATATCATCCTGTCGGATATGCTCTTAACTTTGGGAAAAAGGCTTTTAGATTATAACCTAGTGAAGCGAGAGACTGAAAAACCGCTGAATAATTAAGTTGTTAAATATCTATTGAATAATAGCGACGGCTTCAGGGTTCAGTCTTTGCGGTTGAAATGTCTTGCCGATGGAGCGTGTGAGAGTGAAGGTGTTTCGCTCAGATGATGTATGCTTAAAATGACTCGACATGTGACGAAGACAGGCGCACAATACCTAGTGGTTCGGGTCGCCTGCCAAAGACCACGACTGCCCTGGATGTAATGGACAATCATGATTCCTGCCTTCCGGAACGTAGCCTTCAACACTTCAAGCCGTCCGTATCTAGGCCGTGGGTCGAACCAGCCCTCGGTCGAACGGCCACTGGTCGAAGTACGATACATTTTGGAGCAGAACTATGCTATCTGAAACCTAACATCAGATGCTGTGAACGTAAAATTACGTAATTTAACGATATCCGGAAGTCATATTCGAACCGCGGCCTGGTGGTGCACGGCAGGTTCTATGCAAGGCCGGAGGAGGACAAAGCCAAGTGTTTTACGGCTGATTGGTGGATGTCCGGAGAGATCCAAGGCGTTCCATTCAGGTCTTATTGGTGCACAAAGTTGGTGGTGCACGGCTGCGCTCCCAGTGGTTCATCTCTGCTCCATTACTATATACGTGAGAAGCAAGCGACTGCATCTTGCCTCAGCTCCTCTACCTGAGGTCAGATGCAATATGGTTACGACGCGATGACCTCCCTAGGCCTTGGCTGGTAGACGGAGGATGAAGAAGGCTGGTGGACGGCAGTTGGTGGAGGATGGTGGATGGCTGACGATAAAGGCTGGTGGACGGTGGACGACGAAGGCTGGTGGACGGTGGATGAAGAAGGCTGGTGGAATGTGGATGGCTGACGATAAAGGCTGGTGGGCGGTGGACGACGAAGGCTGGTAGACGGTGGACAAGGATGGCTGATGGACGTCATACGGCGAAGTGTTCTAGTGTCTCGCATAAGGTGTGTGAACGTGTAACTTGCGTTTGTGACCCGTTTGCGTTTTGTCAGTGCGTGTAATATTCCCGCACTTTTCCGATATAATCATAATACCTGATACAAACGCATATTTTTAATCCAATTTGAACGTAAATGTAGTTAATGAGGGGCAAAATCCTATATTGCGGAAAACCTAAAGTTCTCACGTATACGTCAATGATTAAGAAATGAGTCATTCAGATAGACGTAAATGATTGAGAAATAAAACCTTTAATGAATGAATGAATCCTAAGATGACAGGTGCCATCTAAGCGAAGGAACTGAGGAAATGAAAGTCAAGAGATCATTGAGATTTTCATTAACAGCATCTTACAAAAAATTAAATTTTTATGTTAATATCGTATAATGTAATGCTTTCACCGCTCACTCGTTTCCATTAGTCTCGCTCTCAATTATTATAATAAGAATTATTGTAGCACCGCTAATATTCACAAATAATTTATTGTATGGATGACGATTTGTTGATAAAAAAATTCATTCTAACAACATTATTGCAATTTATTATTTCCTATCCGTACGCCGTCTTTCTAAATGAATTTTTCTCTTAAATTACAGTACAGAATTACGAATGGGTTACACTACAGTAAGATTACGTAATTCGATGTGCAATGATTTTACCAAATAAATATTTTTTTAACCCAAACTTGTAGACATAACTTTTTTGTGAAGACTTTCACAATTGTGTTTAATACACATTTTCAAAAATGCAATGCTCGTAAATGCAATTCGAAAAAAATAAATACGAAATAATTCTTCCAATGGAAATTAATTAAAAACTTTCAAAATGCTAACATCGTTGATAAAATCCCATCGGAAGGCATGAACGATTTTTGAGAAGATTAAATTTGTAAATTTCCAACTTGTTGTATTTTCCATCAAACATAAGATTGAATTCCTATCACGCATCGACAGTGCTAACAACTCCAAAAATAAAAAAATTTGCTCTTAGTTTTAATTGAATTATTACGACGCATATTATTTTGAAAACTCAAAAAATTACCTGGAGGGAATACATTTCTGCTTTGAAATTGAGTGGCGGATATTGCTGTACAGTTAATTTCAATTAGAATTGCTTTCGTATCTTCACTGGATACTCCAACTATCAAACTTCAGTGTTCTCTAGCAAAGCAGATATTTTTTAAAATTTAATTTCCAGTTTAGGGCTTAAAAATAGCTTTATTTATCTAGAAACAGACGTAGATGCAACACGTTATTCTCAGCCTTTGCCATAAGCTATAAAAAATGTACATTTGTACAAAAATGGTTCAATGGACTAGAAAATGACTTCAGGAAAAATAGCAACGGGCAACGATAAAAAATAGCGTTTCTATGTACACGAAACTTGGAAGAAATATTCATTGGAACTAAGTGTAGTAAATATGCAGGAAATTCAATTTGATTAAAAAAGAGAACTGCTCATATGGAGTTGGAGTTCGAAAATTGAAAAGATGGATACAAGGAATACATTTACAAAGCCGTTGCTAAGTGCATTAACAAGAATAATAATGGTAAAAGAAAAATAAAAAACCTTTCATAAACGCCGCGCTCAAAAAAAAGTTTTTTATGAAGGCCTTATGAACGATTTAACGGGCTGAGATTGCTATTAGATTGAACTTGATTATTATCAGTGCTGCACCATGTCGGAGAACTGATCGAGACACTGTTTGTTGGTGTTATTCCTAACAGTATTAATATTATTCCTACCAGTATTGATACAGTATTGGTATTATTCCTACCAGTATTATAGAAGAAGTCACGTGGTGAAAACTACCGTACTGAAGATGAAAAACTTAAGGACTTTAACATGCGGTTTGAAACTAGATCTGAAAATGATGTTCCTGATAACTTATTCTTATTCTTAATGATTCATTGATTGTTCTCATTGATTGGTAAAATTATAGGTTCTTATTGATTAGTAAGCGTTCCTGACCAACGGATGTTCTTAACGACAAAAAATTTTGAAGGCCTATGATAGTAATTAGCACTGAAAAAATGAAGCAAAAAAATCTGTATCATAAAACCTACAATTTTTTTTTCAAATCGAAGTGTGGGAATTGCTTTGGATGAATTAATAAATCTGTTGAATTACAGATCCGATAAGATGTGATCATCACTCCGACCAAGAGATTGATGATCTGATGCCAATGATTGTTCTAATACAAATGATTGTTCTCATCCTGAAGTAAATGATTGCCTGATATGAGCAATTATAAATTAACACTGTAATAATGAGAAAAGAGTATTTCAAAGTACTTTCAAATATACCTGTACAGTGACGTCACTTACCCTGCTTAGAAAAGACCATAGAAATACAGCTTAGAATATAAGTCGCCGACACGCATTTCATTCATCAGCAAAACTCGAAGCATTTACCCGTTTTCAGAGAGAAGAACTTACAAGTAATACGTACTTTAATATCATGATATTCGCGTTGTTATAGGATTGATTGACATCGTCGCACACATCGCCTTCGGTACACTAGAATCTCGAGACCACATCATAGGACAAAAGGGCTACACTGTGTGATACCATATTAGTACATTATTGTAAGAATGAAATTAAATCGAATGTTTTAAAATCATATATAGAGTGACGCCCGTTTTGCACAAAAAATGGCATCATCACGCCATCAGAATTGGCGTGAAAGTCACCAGTTTTGAACAAATTTTACAATATATAACCCATCTGATGAGGGTCTCATATATTAATTGACCCAGTTTGGAATTTTTAAAATTAGTCGAAATTTGGAAACGTAAAGTATCAATTTAATTTTGTTCGAGCCTCAGAGACGTTCGTCTTCACACCCTTTTTTATACCAATTCGAAGAGAAAAGCTAACTTCTCTGTTTTTACGCTATACGAAGAGAAATTAGAACTTTTTAATGTGGTGAAGAGACTCGCGTGTGCGTAGAGGGCTTAAACATGTAAAAAGAGCACCAACTCAACCAACAACAAACAATGCCATAATAATTACATAAAATCAGTTATTTCAGTCAACACTAATAACTCTATTTACAATGAATAAATACTTGCATGATAAGCAGATGAAACAGGAGTAATCGTTTCAACAAATGAAAGCAATAATTGCAATTCTAGACAAAATAACTGCAATAAATGTTAAGATACCAACGTGTTAATTTCTTCACATTGAATGACGTGAAAAATTTTTCTACACTCAAAACTGAAATAAGATTAGAGAAGCGAAAATTTAAGATAACAAAATTGACCACCAAATACAATAAGCCAGATGAACAATAACAGTTCGGGAAAGGTGACAACTTCAATGAAAATAATTTCCTTCTCAGTTAAATTTCTATCGCGAAAAATGATTAATTAAACCAGTTTTTATTTATTTATATCGCGGAAATAATTGGGATAAAATCCATGTCAGATGCTGAAATTCTTACGTAGAATATTTACTACACGAGCAACAAAGCTAAGCTAATAATTAGAAATTAATCGTACTATACGGTTTGGAAACCACGAGACAGAATTGCAAAAAAGAGTTTTACCTTCAGAAAATGTAGAAATCTATATTCATAGTAGCAGCAGAAAATAATTGCTCAAAGAATTTGGAGCCGCACCAGAAAATAGACAACTAAACATAGAGTTAGCACCGTAAAATAAATAGCTAGGAGTAATAAAGTTTCATTTGGCACAAGCATGATAGATGAATTGTAAAATTATTGTTACCATTGACCACCTTTACACCTACTCAGATATTAGTGACTAATTTTGTTGAAGAAGACATCCGAGAAAATGGCACTAAACTAAACATTTTCCACTCACCTCTACTCAAGAAATAGATATAAAAGAGACAGCATTTAGAAAACAAATAGTTACAACTAACTAATCCGCTTAAAAAATACCTAATTCATTTTGTATCAGATATTATGATCTTCCTGAACCTAAATAGTTGCATAAATACATTCCTTTTATATTCTGTACTGAATGTTCACTAAACCGAGGCTATAACAGAAGAAGTGGAATACACTAAAATTTTGACAATTTTTAAAACCCCAGTTTAAAATGGGTTCTCACATTCAAGAAAGAACATAAGGAGTGTTCTCTAAAAGACAAATAAGGATCCAATACAATCCAGACGAGTGTGTTAAGATAGCCATCAACGATTTCTTGTAAAGTTTCCTTTAGATGTCGTAGATTTTCGACATCTTTCCTGTTATATTGATTGCTAGATGGAAAATGTGCGTCGTGAATTTAACTTCACGATCGAAAATTTTATTTAAATTGGAAGATAAAGCCATTGCATGCATTGCAGAGTTCAAGCCCGCGTATGCTCTGAATTTGTACATTAGATTTTTCATAATCTAGAATTTTACGATTAAGCATTTTAATTGCGCATGATTAAGCATTTAATTTTTTCAATTCTAAAGCCAGGACCTTTTCAGTAATAGTTTCACAATTGCTTTCAGTTTTCACAATTGATTTCAAAAGCAGTGAGAAGAAACATCAATTAAAAAAGCATTTTTCATCAAAAATCGCGCCAAATCAAAGACCTGGCAATCAAGAAGCACAGGTTACGAAAAACATATGTGGCTGATGCCTTAAAACGCTCGTTACATTAACCTTATATAAGAAATATTTATCGACAATTGACTGGCCATTTGGAAAAATAAAATGTTTTCAACTAGTTAAACAACGATAAAATACAACGTGGATTTCACTAAATTCATGCGCTAGGCATCATATCAACAAGTTGATGTTTCAGACTTGTTTTTTTTTTCACTATCGATAACGTTGTGTAAAAGATGTACTTATTTTCCATTAAAAATGAATTCTAGATTTGATAGGTAAACTGAATTTGTAATTACACCGGAGTTGCGTCAAACTCGAATTTCCAAGTGCAAACAGACAGGATTCATGGTAGTGTCGAATTAATGAGA